GGGGGGGGGGGGGGGGGGGGGGGGGGGGGGGGGGGGGGTGAGCATTTACACATTGCCTTGTGTCATCATAATGGCAAACATAGATATCAAATCCGAGAGGATTTCAAGTGTAACATGGGAAAGAACATTTTTTTTATCAGAATAACTGAAAATGTGATAAAAAGGTTCTGATATGAGCATCAATTTCGTGTGTGATAATGAAAGGAGTCTTTAAATTTCTGACGAGTTTCATGGCGAACTGCGGTATAGTTTATCTATATCTAAATCACATTTGAATAAGAAAATCATGTAAGATGTTAGTACAAGCCAATCTGAATATAATTATTAAATTGTTATGTGTGTTTTATTTACTTGCTTTAATGAAACATATTTTAAGAATTGTCTCTTAGGTGTGAAACTATAAACCACGCAATAGACAAAGCGACGAATTCAGACCACGTGATGCTAGGGCTGATTGGTAAGTTGTGAGCCTTATGATTAAGAGTATGACTTTTGGCGGACATATTGCTTTGTTTTTCCCTTCAGTATCTATACATTTTTGCCACTGATGTTTAAGGACCTCAATGCCACTTTTAAAGAAGTCATTTTCTAGACTGTTCAGACAGTCCTCCACTACATGTATGACGTCACCATTTGACCGAAAATGGGTACCGTAAATGGCCTTTTTCAATTTAGGAAATAGATGAAAGTCTGATGGAGCAAGATTACGCGAATAAGTCGGATGCTTAATAAATTTAAAGCTACAATCGTTAATGGCATATAACAAGCTTGAGAACAAGGGCATTGTCCAACCACAAACCTTTACTGACTTACTGGCGCTTGAGTTTAATATTTTCTCTTAACTACCTAAGAAGCGATGCATAATATTTTTTGCGGATACTCGAATACCATCAGCATTCCAGAAAACCAAAGGGTGGTTCCATTGTTTTGACTGTTATTTGACCTCCTGGGTGAAATGATGAACCCACATTTCTTGGATGGTCAAAAACTTCTGCAGAAAGTTAGCAGGATCTGCCTTCTAAAAGGTTAAGATTATCACGCGATAAAATCTGCCTGGTGTGCTCCTGATCAACTGTCAAAAGTCTTGGTACCCGACGGGTTAAGAGCTCTCTTATTGTAAGATCTTCCCTAAGAATGGTCAGTTCTCTTTCCTGTGAACTCCCAACTGTACTGGCTATATATATATATACATATCTGTAACTCGCCTGTCAGCCATAAATAACAATACAATGACTTTTATTGACTATTTCTGGGGTTGCAACAGTGACAGGCTTTCCATGGCTCTGCCTGCCACGCTTGAGTTCCACTATCCACCTTTCATTAAAGCCTGTGTAGAGTCATCAGGTGCTAGACCTTTCTTTCGGCGATTTGGTCCATTTAGCAAAAGTCACTTGCCTTGTTCAAGAGGATTACCTCTTCGACATGAACTGCCACAATGACACCAGTCTTAGGGTGCACAGCCTTAAATGGTCAGGTAATAGTAGAGCTAAAAAAAGGACACCTTTGCTTAATTACTTCAAAACATCGCTCACAACTTATCTATCAGCCCTCGTATCAACATATTCCTTGTTTCTCGATGAATAAGTTATATTTATTCCAGTGGGACGGAAACTTTAGAAGAACTAAATTATCTATCCAAAATTTCATTTGTAGGTCCCGTTTGTCCCTGGTTTTGTCTGTTTAATTTTGGGACTGATTTGCAAAAAGGAAAATGATTGACGGGCGGTCATCTTGGATTTTGGCAATGGAAATCTGTTATTTCTCGAGAAGGACAGGATAGGTCTTTCTTAAATTTCATATGTTGGCTCCTCTTGGTACCTTGTGTCTCTACGATTTTGGGACTGAATAGAAAAATAAAAATAGCTGACAAGCGGCTTTCCTGCATCTTTATTTATCTTTATTTCTTAAGAAGAATTTTTAAATATCTTATAATTGAAAGCAAATACAAAGGTAAGAAGTAAAAATAAGGGAAAACCCAACTTTTAAGAACCAAAATGATAAAAATAGATAAAAAAATTGTGGGCGCCATTAGGTGATCTTTTTTCAGAGAGTGGAAAAGTTTCAGTATCTTCATTCATTCATTTTGACCATTCAGAGCGAACGAATGTTTAGATAATCATTAATGATTTGAAGAGATTTTTGTTTCACGGTAAGGTATTGGTTAGGGCGAATGTGAAATGAATTATTAAAGTGTCACACGTTATAGTTTTACAAATAAAAAATATCAAATTGTTTGGAGCCTTGTGTCTAAAATGTGAAAAATGTGATTGGTGAAAAATATCGAATATTCACCTCATTTGAGGGAGTATAAATGTTATTCAGAAACAAAGAAGCAAAGAAAAATCCTTGATTAAAGTTTCTTGAAATGGAATGATCTATCTATCTTTGTGCTACTAGCTGGTAGGTAATAAAATATACACGTAGAGAGATACTGGTATCAGTCATAGAGATCTACAGGTTTAATCGTCGTACTAGTAGCTGACCACAGTTATCATTGATGTTTGATGATGACGGAGACCAAACAAGATTGCCCTTGGCTTCATTATCATCAAGTGTTGTGTAATTGCAGAAAGAATTACATGTGGCGATCACGGTCATCAAAATGTTTGGATCTCAGAGTCATGGCAATGTTTGTTGATGCCTATAATCATGATATCTACTTTCACTGCAATCTGTTTTGATTCATCAATATGTTTGATGATTGCAGTAATAACTATTTCTAGTGATTATAGCTTCGGGATATTAGGTGATCACAGCCAGCAAGATGTTTGACGATGGCAGTAGTTTCTATATGTAGCGATTACAAAGATGTTTATTGACCACAGTTTTCATGAAATTTAGTGATCGCGGCAACCACAGTGTTGGATGATCACAGTTGTTGAGGTGTTTGGCATGATCATCTTCAATGATATTTATTGACACCAATAATTAGTGGTCACGGTGGCCGTTATCACAGTCATTGACATGTTCACTGATCACTGGTATTGAAAAGTATAATGCTCAGTGTCATTTAAATGTTTAGTGGATCACATTCATTGATATGTTTATGGATAACGGTAATTGAATGTGTTAAGTGATCACATTCATTGATATGTTTATGGATAACGGTAATTGAATGTGTTAAGTGATCACATTCATTGATATGTTTATGGATAACGGTAATTGAATGTGTTAAGTGATCACAATTATTGAAAGGTTTAGTGATCACAGTCATTGAGATGTTTATGGATAACGGTAATTGAATGTGTTAAGTGATCACAATTATTGAAAGGTTTAGTGATCACAGTCATTGAGATGTTTATGGATAACGGTAATTGAATGTGTTAAGTGATCACAATTATTGAAAGGTTTAGTGATCACAGTCATTGAGATGTTTATGGATAACGGTAATTGAATGTGTTAAGTGATCACAATTATTGAAAGGTTTAGTGATCACAGTCATTGATATGTTTATGGATAACGGTAATTGAATGTGTTAAGTGATCACAATTATTGAAAGGTTTAGTGATCACAGTCATTGAGATGTTTATGGATAACGGTAATTGAATGTGTTAAGTGATCACAATTATTGAAAGGTTTAGTGATCACAGTCATTGAGATGTTTATGGATAACGGTAATTGAATGTGTTAAGTGATCACAATTATTGAAAGGTTTAGTGATCACAGTCATTGAGATGTTTATGGATAACGGTAATTGAATGTGTTAAGTGATCACAATTATTGAAAGGTTTAGTGATCACAGTCATTGAGATGTTTATGGATAACGGTAATTGAATGTGTTAAGTGATCACAATTATTGAAAGGTTTAGTGATCACAGTCATTGAGATGTTTATGGATAACGGTAATTGAATGTGTTAAGTGATCACAATTATTGAAAGGTTTAGTGATCACAGTGATGTTTATGTGTTTGAATGTGTTATCACAATTATTGAAAGGTTTAGTGATCACAGTCATTGATATGTTTATGGATAACGGTAATTGAATGTGTTAAGTGATCACAATTATTGAAAGGTTTAGTGATCACAGTCATTGAGATGTTTATGGATAACGGTAATTGAATGTGTTAAGTGATCACAATTATTGAAAGGTTTAGTGATCACAGTCATTGATATGTTTATGGATAACGGTAATTGAATGTGTTAAGTGATCACAATTATTGAAAGGTTTAGTGATCACAGTCATTGAGATGTTTATGGATAACGGTAATTGAATGTGTTAAGTGATCACAATTATTGAAAGGTTTAGTGATCACAGTCATTGATATGTTTATGGATAACGGTAATTGAATGTGTTAAGTGATCACAATTATTGAAAGGTTTAGTGATCACAGTCATTGAGATGTTTATGGATAACGGTAATTGAATGTGTTAAGTGATCACAATTATTGAAAGGTTTAGTGATCACAGTCATTGATATGTTTATGGATAACGGTAATTGAATGTGTTAAGTGATCACAATTATTGAAAGGTTTAGTGATCACAGTCATTGAGATGTTTATGGATAACGGTAATTGAATGTGTTAAGTGATCACAATTATTGAAAGGTTTAGTGATCACAGTCATTGAGATGTTTAGTGATCACAGTCATTGAGATGTTGGTGACCACATATCCGTCGTATTAGATGTTAAAATCAAGAATGTAAATATGTGTTAACTCTTATTAACATATTGAGGTACATAGTCTTGTGTCCGTCAGTACTTTCATCCACTTCACATTTCAAAGTATGTTAGCCTTAAGCTCGTGATATGTTCAAATTAAAATTCCACGGTGGAGATAAATGACATCACAACGAATGTTTCATAACCCACATACAACCGGAACGTGTAACTATGGTACCGAATAATGTCAACAGCGTCCGATACAAACACATACCACTGTTTCTTTCGTCTGAAGTAGGGAAAATGTATTTTAATGGTGAGGTTGTCTCGATCTGGCCTACACACTGCTCGCTGCCTAAGTGGACTAACTTCCGGTATGGAAATGTGTCATCAGTTTGACAAAGCAGAAGGGAGAACTAGAAACTCCAGTGTTGAAAATCAAAATGGCGTACTGTTTCTAATTAGATATGAAACGTATCGGAAAAGATTGTTGGAAAGAAACACGATGGTTGAGACTAAACACAGGATGAAGAAAGACAAAGGTATGTTCTAATATTAACTTCCGATGAGGGAGGACATTAAAGTAAGAAAAGTACCTTCCCTGATTACTACTGACATTCATGTTTCCTAACGGGTATTTATCTACTTTGTATATATAGATAAAGCGTACTATTTATATCATTCATCTGTGTTGAAACTTTTCACATTTACGTTCACTCATTGTCTTTACACCAACGATTTTACTATTATTGTGTCAGTATATGTGATATATAAATACTGGGAAGGGCAGAGGAACTACGATTGAACGACATTGTACGTAAGTGGTTAAGATACATAAAAACTACATTGTACTTAGAAATCTGTTTCACAGAATATTTAACTGCTCAAATCGTTGATAGGTATACTTCAAATGTTTTGGAGCTTAAGTTTGTTTTGCAGCTGTTTAGTATTGTAACACTGACGTTTGTCAAATATACTATAGGACCCATTCCACACCATACATTCAACTCTTCTGTTTGCATTTTGATATGCCAGAGAGGAGCATACGCGTACTTTGTAACTTCCTGTCTGAGTTCAAAGGTCATATACTTGGTATTGCTTCCGCAGTGAATATAAAAGGCACATTGAGATAAACAGTTTTTGTGTTAAAATAAATAGATAAGCTTTATCTATTTTATACCAATTGCAAACCAAGATGTCCCAACTTATGTAAACGCGCGAGAGGTCTTACTGTGGGAGGAAACCAGTGAAATTTCACGTGGTCTGACAGGTGACCCTCCTACCTTTTCACGTCCGTTTCGGGAACTGAACCGTAGACACCAAGGTTAAATGCGCGTTTTCCGACCACCACGAGAACGTTGCGTCATTTTTATCGTTGGTCATTGTTATAGTATTCGTTGGTATTTTTTGTTTCAGTTTTTCATGTCTTGTATAACGGGGTTCCATATCAATATAATATTTTTGTCGCTTTAACGATAAAGGCTTGCTTAAACCTCAAGTAGGCACCCATGTGTGTAGTTCGGACGTCCCGCATGATCTTCACCGATGCAACAACCAACTTCCAAAACTTCATGTTCTCAATGTTTAGGGTCTATATCATTGGTTCCCGTCACATGACTGTATATTCTGTAACTCTAAGCAAGGATTGCATCACTTCGGGCCCGTCACGAGTAGATGGTATATGGGGACAATCCAGCGGAGACCTCTCCCTGCGGGAATCGAGACGAAACCAAAGTGGGTCTTCTTTGATATCGGCCTTAGTTTTACAACGAAATGTTTTCTCTACCATTGTTAGTCAATTCTGTCCTATCCTACTCGTCCGCCATTCAAACCATAAAAGTATTATCATAGTATTAACCCGTACATGTTTTGCTATTTTACAGACAATCACGTAGACCTGTATGTTGAATGCTGGTCAAAATTTTACGATGCCGATGGAAACTCTGTCACATTAACGACGACCACTGCTGGCCCGGTTACTTCCACTACACCAGGTGGCCTCAGCACCAAAAGTAGGTATCCATAACTAGTGTAAGGATTGACTGGCATTGACATCGCACGTACTAACAGAGAATATGATTGGTTGGTATTGACATAGTAAACACTAACAGAGAATATAATTGGCTAGTATTGACATAGTAAACACTAACAGAGAATATGATAGGCTGGTATTGAAATAAAAAGTACTTACAGAGAATATGATTGGCTTGTATTGACATAGCAAACACTAACAGAGAATATGATGGACTGGTATGGACATAGCAAGTACTAACAGAGAATATGATTGGCTGGCATTGGCATAGCAAGTACTCACAGAGAATATGATTGGCTGGCATTGGCATAGCAAGTACTCACAGAGAATATGATTGACTGGTATTGACATTGCTAGTGACAAGAGAGAATATTGGTGGTTACCGGTCTATTACGAAGGATATCAGTATTGTGCGACCAATAGCACTCCAATTACCCCCTTCCATATATTATAAGACTAATTGCGCAAGTGTTCGGGGAGAGTTTATGTTTCATGGAGGCTGTTTTAAGCATATATACCTTGCTAATCTCCTTTGCACTTTCCAAGAATATCCAATTACAGTTACTGAATGGTGTCTGGAACTGTACCATCAAAGACCGATGTATACTTACAGTTATCAATCAATGTAATTGGATGTTCAATCATAAAGGTTTTATTCCCTGTAAATTCACTCCATGCCTGTCATCTTTCTGTTTCAGAACCCATCGGCGCAATACCAAATGCAATGGTGTACATAATAGGAGGCGCTGCCGTTTTGCTTCTCCTCTTGTGCATGTTTTTTATCATATGTATGGTCATGTCTCGGAGAAACCGTAGTGAAAGAAGGAGACGGTAAGTTTTAATACTTGTAACCACACATTCATATTTTGTACTATTGGTGTTTATGGTCTCCCATTTCCTCTGGATCATAAGACAGTAATATGACGTCATCATCAACGCTTAGCGCAAATAACATCAACACAATGTTACGGGAAAGAAGACAATGAATATCACAATTTTCTGAAAGTGATCCGGGGTAGAACATACTTAATGTATAATTGTTGATTTGTATGTGCAGGCAGTCAAGACAGGGTGTGCTTTTGTTTCACATAACACCAGGCAATAGTCGATGTAATATACTACTATCAATCATGTTTACAGGAAGGCAGCCGAGGCGGAGTCCAGTGTGATGAAGACAAACCTGAGCAGTATAACTGACAAAGAGGATAACTACGCCGAGCTTTCAATGGTAGGTTTTTTTTTTTTTTTTTTTTGTATAACACGAGGTTATAGTATTCTGCTAATTCTGCTATTTTCTCTGACACTGATCAATTTTGACAACGTCTTCTCAATAAATGTTTTACTAATTTGCATTGACTTATTTCAGGGAGATCCAACGTACCGGGATGGTCATGTTGAACTTCCGAGTAGAAAGAACAGGAACAGGTTAGGAGGAGTATCGAATGGCCTCCAGACGGTGAAACGATTTCTTAGTGAAGAGGGCAATCAACCAACCATTGCACAACCATACGCTGCAACAAGGGAACCAACGAGGCGGTGCCCACTTCCGGCTATACCGGAAACTGGACAAAAAAGTAACAGTTTTCCGCGATCACGAGAACAAAGTGAGAAACGGCTTTCGTATAGAAACCCGGAATACGAGGAAATCGGACCCGATAATTTCAGAAGGAGTCATGTTTATAACCCGTTGGAAAGTTCGTTAAAGGTGACAGGCGCAGGAAGAAGTACATACGAGTCTTTACGTCAGAACACACTGGCACCAATTCCCGGCTCAACACGGAGTCTTACCAAGGCAACAAATATGGAAGACAATTACTTTATCGTGGAAAAGGAAGGCGATGGTTATACCAAAGTGATGAAAGATACTACCCCAGTTGACGGAGCGTATTTTATGGTTGAAAAGGTGACCGATATAACGTTTGATCCCCGCTCACCCGATAACGATGACAATGTCGGTATCAAGCTTATACCCTCTTCACCTCAGACGCCTGGTGACGAGGACGCTGAGAAACAGCCAATGTTAGGCACAGCGAATCCGGAATACGGGAAAGCGACTGGGGGATCTGAAAATAACTATTTCCTGTTGGAAAAATCCAATGGTACAGGACCTTCTGAGGCTGATTATCGGGACTACGTGCAGCCAGTGGACAAACAGCGCAACTCATACATCGATATTCTTCAATGCCATGATAACTTTGTTGACCGTCAGGCGAGCGGCGGCGTCATTTGACTAAAACGTAACCGTCGTAAGACATGATATTGTTACTGCTGGTTCCTTTGATAAATATGTAATTACTTGTGTTCATTAATGTGGATATATAATGCCAAATGTCTGATTGTGTAGGTAAATATGTTCGAATAATTGTATCGTGAGTTATCACCTTCCATCAAACTATCGGATGAATGAATATATCTTTAAACATTGACGATGATAACATTGAAGTTATTTGAATTCAAGAGCTTTCGTGATATTGATGACAGAGGCTAAATCCTTTCTTTGCCACACAAGCGTATTGTAGACGTCTTGTGTTTTACCGCACCATTAACTTATAAAAATGTGTTGTTTGTGTGCTGCTTGGTTTAGATTGACAGTTTTGTAGCAGACTTTTACCATGCTAGATTTTCTAGATATGCAAGTATGGAGATAAAGTTCAAATTTACTCAATACTGGCGAGTAACTACAAGCCAATTTGTGATTGGAAGCTATTACAACACGTACAAATAAGCCCGTTTATTTGTCACACTGAATGTTAAAAATGTGTTATGTTTGACAATGATGAAGTGTCTATCAAGATATAGGATGTACGACTCATTCCCCATGAAAAGGATTTCTGACCATTCTCATATATTTTTCAGGTACCTTTATAATACATAAATTACTCACACGTTTGTCATTTTTGTCGTCCCTAAGGTCTGTATTTAAAGAATATTTATCATATTTTACAGGTGTGTGGACAAACAAGGTATTCAGAGAATATGTCCGTATCTTGACAATATATTTATATAATTTTGACGTTATATAAAATAAATTGGTGTGCCATGATTAAGTTTCTTTTCTTATTTGATGAAACGACAGATAGGTCTGGTTTCCTTTTTAAGACACGGGACCAGGAAGAATGAAATTTCCAGTTTCGATTGGATAATGAGCCGGAAATAGATGTGTATGATGTTAGTCGGCAATATCCTATATAAACCCTCATTCATTAGATGTGTAAATTTCAGCCACTATCAAGTCACCCCATTCCTGGGCTCCCACCGCCGACTATACCGTGAGCACGATAGCCAGTCTTGTACTTTCCTCATAACTCTGATCCCTTCACAGTACATAGATTCTCCTTATAGTGTCGGATACCAAAAGAGTGTGTGTGGAAAATAATCTTTATAATAAGCGTTTTTATGAAGCCGTTTGAAATGTGTTTTTTCCCACACCCCTTTTTCAACAATTGCCTGTTGGCCTCTGCTGTATCCTGGTTTGGTTTAATACTGTTTGTCCCAAAACTGAAAAAAATCTATGTCCTGTTAGTCCCAGAACATTATGTACACAAATAGGGCAGTATGTTGTTATAACAGGTAAAAAATTTGTCCAAAATTTTATACACATGTAAACCATAAAGCTATTTGAAACATTTTGAAAAAATCAAATACAAATATTATTATAACGTTAACTAATATATATGCATGTATGAATAATTAATATGAATTAAATAAAATAATTTAAATAGGATATTAGAAAGAAATGATTTTGTTAAAATATTCGCTGAGTCGCTGTTCTTCCACTACCACCACATCACATCGAGGACTGCTGGTTCAACGCCTTGGAGGACCTTGAAGACGTCGACCTACCCGTAGATACAATCACTGACTACGTCACCACCCAATGGATAGAAGGAGGCCGACAAGTTTGGAACCACTTTAACAACGATGGACCCAGGACCACAAACAACTTGGAAGGATGGCATAGCAAACTCAAGAAAAAGATCCCACATGCACATCCAAGCATTTTCATATTCCTCAGAGAATTGAAAGACATTCAAGCTACCAATTACATTAACCGCCTACAACATGCTGCATGAGGACTGCCTGTGCCAAAGAGACGTCGTTACAGAATGCTAAATGACCGTCTTATCCAACTGAAAACTCTCCTACGAAACAACAACATCAACTACATCAATTATGGAGACAGAACCACATACCTGTTGAATGTGGACTGATTTCGTTTTATTTTGAATAGTGTTAATTTATCGGTTTCATTTATTTCTATAGTTATGTCTTGAACTGTATACTAGTAGTTGAACATAAAATGTACACTATATCACATCCTTCCAAGTTAAATTTTGTTGTAAGTATAATTGTATAATTATATAAAATGTACATTATATTATAGTGGTATGTAGTGCTAAATTTACCTGTATTTTAAATAAAACTAAGATTAATTGCTGGCTTGTTTTCTTAGCCATTACAGACTTATAAATTACACTTCGTCCACAAGGCACTTGTATTTAGTATTTGACATCTTGAGTATACATCAGATAACCCACTCTACACGGTTTAATCCTGTTTGTCCCAAAACTGAAAAAAATCTGTCCTGTTTGTCCCCAAAACATTATGTACTCAAATAGGGCAGTGTGTTGTTATAACATCTACGGTACCCGTGTTTCTTGTTTTAACAGGCAAAGAACTGGACCAAAATTTTATACCGGCAAACTTACACAGGTAAACCGTAAAGCTATTTGAAACATTTTTAAAAAATCAAATACAAATATTATTATAACGTAAACTAATTATTTTGTTAAAATATATCTTTAAAATATTTTATATAGTTTCATTTTGTATTATATATCTATATTTCAATTTTTTTCAAATTCAAATTCACAGACAATACAGTCGGAAGTTTGTAATTTTAAACAATGCTTTAATCGATGAATGGTTTCCCGACGAAAAATTTCGAGGAGTTCCGATTATCATTGATAGAATTATCTACAATGTATATTTGACTTCGTTCGTTTGTCTTACTGAGACGGGATAAATCGGGTTGAGAAAGTCTGATGAGGAAATGCGGGTTATTTTAAACAGTATTTTCAATAATAACAAATAAATTTTACCAGTGTAGCCAATATTTTAGTATCTTTCACGAATCGAAGATATAGAACAACAAGAATGAGTACTGTTTGTTAATAACAGAAAGACTGTAAAATACATGCTTATTACATTTTATCTTATTTTGCTATCTGGAATATCAAAGTGGATGAGGATAAAACCCAACAAAAACAGACTGCATATGATCTGTCATACAGCCTCGACTTTTAACTTACGACCTTAGGCCATACAAATTTGATTTATAGTCATTCGGGATTTTAGGATTTAAAAGTGGAGCGAGCGAAATTTTTTTAATATTAAAAAAAAAAATCCAATTCTTCCAAAATTGGAGCGAGCGACTGTTAGCAATGTTTTTATGATGGAATTAAATTATCCTTTTGGTTTTTAATGTTGTTTCTAAGTGATTATGACCGATCTTTTAAAGTAAAACATCTACCTGATCGAGGACTCCAGTAATAAATAATTTTATCCATACTTATATTGTATCATATAAGGAAAATATGTTAGAAAAGAATTGTAGGCATGATACCCAAAAAGAAATCTGAAGTCCTAGATTGGGGTAGACATTTTTATAAAAAGAAATGGTAGTTTTCATGGGCTAACCAACAAAATATCTCACAGTAAACCATTAATTTGTAATGTAATTGCATTTATCCATGGCCAATTGCATCAAGTTCAGCAGATCATTATGGTGGAGGATGACTGAATATCTGAAGAAAACCTGCACTGGAATAGAATTCCAAAATGGACACATCAATTATATTAATCAGAAGGAAATTATCAACAAACACATTTTCAAAACATAATAACTGTATTGTATTCAACAATTGCTTGAAAGAAAAACATGTAAAGAGATATAAAAAATATTGAAAAAATGATATACATTTATCAAATTGTAAACTAAACAATGTTAAAAAAGAACATTCAGTTTTGAAGTTGTAGGTTTCGGTAGGAGAGAGTATTTTTTGTGACCCCATGAGCACGGAAAATGCAGATTGTTTACATTTATCGGAATTGGTGTCTTCTGATTTATGGCAAGAACTGACTAAAAATTCATCGAATCTCATGTTCAAATTCGCACATACCGATACAAGCATGGTCGGCGAGGAGACGACGATGTTGTTTGAACAGGGAGGACGACTAGCGAAAATTCTTATTTCCAATATCTGATGCGATAGTTCTAACTGATCGTACAGATCATAAAACAAAATGTTGTCAGCTGTCTCCATTGCTGTGTTGGCATGACATTATAACGACCAGTCTCAGTCGTTACAGAAACTACGATTATTCCCATGTTAGCTATTTTTCCCCCGATCGAATGTAGATCAGACGCAGAAAAAACTTTATATAATTGCGAGGTTTGTGACAACGCCCCTGTGATCCAGAAATAGGACAATTTTTAAGTTTTTAACCCATGCAAAATAAGTCCGGATTCGTCAATTTTGATTGACGATAAAATAGGAGCGGTATTTTTTATTAAATTATTGATCGCTTAAAATAGGAGCGGTAAATCCGACGAACTTTTGGTATGGCCTAAAGATTGATTAAAAAGTATTCTGGCCTACAAAATATCCCTTAAAATATTCATATGGAAATCATTCAAATTTTAACGCACATGCCATAAATTTGTATGTTGAAAATTTAGCCAATCAGGATCAAAGCACATCTTATTTCCTGTTGATCTAATTTCCGATTTAAAACGCAGGACATACTAAAACACGGAACGATACAATAACGGACAAAACCACACTAAATACGAAACACGGCGAAGTTGTATACAGGTAATCGACCCAGTATAGAATTATCATCGCTTGCTAGCATTACAAAGTGTGCATTGAATTTTAATATGACGTCAAACTGTAAAACAAATTGGTATATCGTTGGATGTCTCTAGTTGAGAAAACACAAAAACGCCGACTTAATGATCTGACAATTTACATGTCATAGCATTTGCTTGAATACATTACATTCGCTCTTCAGCGGTACTTATTTCATATAATTTCTCAATATTTCACTGGGTAGGTAAAATGAAATCAGGTTAACTCTGAAAAATGGAAAATAACCACAAAAAACAAGCAAAACACTTAATTTTGTTAGTTATTTTAGGAGTTCCGAACACATTCCAAAGGGTTTCGAATGGAAACTTTGATACGCGGGAAATTACATCGACTAGGTCATACTTATTCACAGTCCATTTTCCATGCAGTAGCCACAATGCATAAAATTGCTTAAAATGTCGCACGAGTACTACACGAGTATGTAAAATCATATCCAAAGGCAAGTTTTCCACAGTTACACAGCCGTACCACAAATACGATAAAACCGAACACTTAATTAAAAAATCGTGGATGGAATATTCAATGATTAGGAAAAATTAATAGTTATATTGAGAAAAATCATGTCTACGACAAAAAGGAAATATAAAATGAGAACACACAATAAAAATCACTGCAATTTGAGGCAAATTGTGTCGTCTCGGTGATTTAGAATTGTGTATTATTGGGAGAGAATACACTTACGTTCGAATACGACAAGTCCAAAAATCTCAACGCTATTAAAAAGTCACACGATTTTCCATATGGTTCCACACAAACTGGAACTAGTTGAATTTTACATTGTAAGTGACACAAACTTAACAACAAAATTGTCAGCATTCGTAAGCTGTTGTAACAGACAACAATGCAGATGGCATCGGTGACCGGGGTGTGTCTGAAGGAGTAGACGCAATCGGTGACCGGGGTGTGTCTGAAGGAGAAGACACAATCGGTGACCGCTGTGTCTGAAGGAGTAGACACAATCGGTGACCGGGGTGTGTCTGAAGGAATAGACACAATCGGTGACCGCGGTGTGTCTGAAGGAGTAGACACAATCGATGACCATGATGTGTCTGAAGGAGTAGACACAATCGGTGACCGGTGAGTGTCTGAAGGAGTAGACACAATCGATGACCGTGATGTGTCTGATGGAGTAGACACAATCGATGACCACGATGTGTCTGAAGGAGTAGATACAATCGATGACCGCAATGTGTCTGAAGGAGCAGATACAATCGGTGACCGGGGTGTGTCTGATGGAGTAGATACAATCGATGACCGCAATGTGTCTGAAGGAGTAGATACAATTGGTAACCGGGGTGTGTCTGAAGGAGTAGACGCAATCGGTGACCGGGGTGTGTCTGAAGGAGAAGACACAATCGGTGACCGCTGTGTCTGAAGGAATAGACACAATCGGTGACCGCGGTGTGTCTGAAGGAGTAGACACAATCGATGACCGTGATGTGTCTGATGGAGTAGACACAATCGATGACCACGATGTGTCTGAAGGAGTAGATACAATCGATAACCGCAATGTGTCTGAAGGAGTAGATATAATCGGTGACCGGGGTGTGTCTGAAGGAGAAGACACAATCGATGAACGCAATGTGTCTGATGGAGAAGACACAATCGATGACCGCGGTGTGTCTGATGGAGTAGATACAATGGATGACCGCAATATGTCTGAAGGAGTAGATACAATCGGTGACCGGGGTGTGTCTGAAGGAGTAGACACAATCGATGACCGCAATGTGTCTGAAGGAGTAGATACAAACGATGATCGCGATGTGTCTTAAGGAGTAGATACAATCGGTGACCGGGGTGTGTATGAAGGAGTAGATACAAACGATGATCGCGATGTGTCTTAAGGAGTAGATACAAACGATGATCGCGATGTGTCTTAAGGAGTACACACGCTAAACACAAAAGAACTCGTATCTGAGCACAAATAACTGTAGTGCGTCTTTATAAACCAGCAAAAGTAACGAACATAGAGAATAATGGTATTGATTTCAATTGAGTTTGATCTTGTCAAGTTATCGAAAGATTCAATAGGGTTATATTTTTTTTGGTGTTTGTGTTTGTGGGCGAACAGGTGGCCGGTGACTGAGGGAAGAGGGTTAAACATCGTACTAAATTTAGGTAAAAATCCGTTCCATACGGATGTACAGTAGTCAGGGTTACCTGGTCCGACGATATAGTAAGGTATAGGTAGATTGTGATTGGTCCCTGTGATGACGCAGGTACATTATGTATACTTTTTATGATGGATTGTCAATACCAGCAAATAGATGTATTGTCTGGATAAGCTAAAACATGTATTTCTGTCCAGTCATGGTCAATAAATATGTTAATATATATAGTTATGACCAATCACACCGGTGTCGTGTCAGACATGTACATAGGTATCGTCTTACATCACAAGGACATAATTACCCTGGGGCGGAATACTCCATCAACACCGCCTGACTGATCTATATATTGACGGGTTCTACATTCATGATCTCAAGTGTTATTATTAGCTTAACATTTGTAATACCTAATGTGAAAAAACATCGGTTTCTACATAAATAACATTAGTGTCCATTCGTACCATTCATAAAGGACGAGACTCCCCCCTCCCTCTCCCTACCCCGTCGATATTTGAACTTACTATTACTATGACATCTCCTTCACATAGCTGCAACTGAACAATCCATCTATTTCATGTGTGAATAACGTAAGTGTTTAACATTAACTCGAGTTACAATATACTCTAGATCTTGTAATGACAGCCTAACCCAAAATCAAAAACAACAAAGAAACACTGAACTGCCAACATGGTAAGAAAATCCAAACTCAAATTCGATGAAATTCAAGATCAAAAAACGAAATAAGAAAGAATTGCATGGAGATTCTGGAAAGAGCACAAGGAGAAGGAGACCATGAAAAATAAGCGTCTTCTGCTTCATTTTCATCAATCCAAGTAAGCAATGTCACGTTCTCAAATGAGAACAAGGTCTACAACGTTGGAACCACCTTGCAAACTAACATCAAGCACGCCCAGCTTCATGTCGTACAAGGGAATAGTATTTCTCTATGAAATCATTCTAACGACTGTAAAACACATATTTTTTATTGTATTATTAATGGACATCATCATCTGTTGTACACAACTATTTCAATGTCATATCATTATATTTATAAGCAGTTTACAAATCCAGAACACGTGTCATACTGATTCTATTGCACACCTAAAATCGATGGTGTCCCTCAGTTTATTTCTATGTCGGACAATGAAAAAGTCGTAATACACTGACCTTAACTAAGGCAGCTTAACTGTCTAAAACTTGCAAAGTCCTTCTATGTGTAAACACACCGAGACCATTCCTACTCAGGTGTTTCAGGTCCGGTGACGTCACCGAAGTATAAACCTGTCACGGTGAAGATATGATAGTGAAAGCATCTCTATCAACGACCACATCTATCAAAGGTATTGCTCAGGTAACTTAGATCGGCAGTGGTCTCCCGCAGTAGAAAATCTCAGTTCAGTCAACAGGATGTGTGTCCACCTTAATATTCTTAATTTTGTGACAGGTTTCTTCGAGGTAAATATGTAAGTTCGCTATATCTGTGAATTGTGAACCAAGGGCCAGCTTTACTTATTATTCAAACATATGTATATACAGGAAGTCTCGGTAGTATGTTGATGGACACGCCTGCTCCAGATATTCCCTCAAGTGGAACCAGTTCCGTGATCAAGGAACTACACTCCAATTTGGCACTTTCGCAGACGACAGCACAGGAAGTAAATACACCAAACAAAACTTCGAGAAGAGCAAAAAAGAAAGCGAAAAAGCGGGAAAAAAAGAAAGACAAGAAAAAATTCAGAAACGAATTCAACAAAAGTGTTAAAAAGTTAATTGAAGACGGTCACGTGCCTGGAAGTGAGAGTGTAGTCGGGGATGTGACCCCGGGGCAGATAAATGAGCCCGAGTCGAGCACTGTCATTTGGTCCCCGGCCCTAGCGCGGTCAAGCAACGCATCTATGGGGATCGAGGATAATGAACACGTGCATGAATTTTTGCATTCTTTTCTGTTGGGCAGAAGTGACGATGACAATGGTCCCCCGTTGATGAAGCTGGGGGGAAATACACAGCTTCATCCTCTCCCTCGACAACATTTATTGGACCATAATCCCGCACAGGATTCATTACAAGGTGATCACGTGAGGAATTTAGTAAATGTTGCTGAAAGCACAACAGTGACTGATGATTCAGTGCAAATTCGTGATGACACAACTTCAAATATTCGGGCGTCGTCAGCCACTCCCACTGCACCCTCGTCACAGGATCTCGAGGGGCCGGGACAGGGTCTCGAAAGAGACACAATTACATTAGCTCCGCCAGGCGAAATCCTACCTACTACAGTGCATAGTGTCATTACAGATGAAACTTTCCCCGAACAAGACCACGGGGGTGACGAAGATGATCCCCATCCCACGGCCAAGGAGAGCAGCATGGCTGGGGGTGTGGATTCCAACGTCAAGGAGAGCAGCATGGCTGGGGGTGTGGATTCCACCGTCAAAGAGAGCAGCATGGCTGGGGGTGTGGATTCCACCGTCAAAGAGAGCAGCATGGCTAGGGGTGTGGATTCTATCATGAAGGAAAGTGACATGACCGCGAACACAAATTTTACCATAAAGGAGATTGACGCGGATAGTGCCACGGGAGAAGGAGAGGACTCAAAACAGGGTATTACCATACATATTCATCACCCCCCTCGACCCGCGGATAAAAACAAAACGCTGTCACTCAAAAGAAAATGGAAGAAGAGTTGCAAGAAAGGTAAGAAATAGACTTTTTGATGGACACAATACATGGGTTCCACCTTGATCAACATCAATTCCGTAACACCTTCAACTTTTGTTGCGTCTTGTGTTTTTTTTTTTAAATCAATGGTTGAAAGCTGTCAGTTAAGCTATCTAATGGTTTGTGAAAAATCCATTTTTTTTGCCACTAAAATACAAAATAATTAAATTAAACGTTAACACTCAAAAAACATGAATTTGTCCTCCCCACATATCGTCGAATGGGAAGTGATGAATAGTGTGCCAAATTTTGTTTCATTCCCATTTCAATCTTTTCACTAACCACTGGTTCTCATTCAACTCAGTCTGAGATAACAATGGCACAAAGATGATTTTTCGTTGTAAAGCCAATCTTACTGAATACAGCCTGTTTCAAACCCCTCGGTGTTACGGATCAATTACTTATTTATGATCTGTATGTGTCTGTAGATTCCAATATAAACTAGGCTTTATTCACCAAACAACGTAAAGGGACGTCTGATATCACTCTAACTGGTTAGCAGACCCGAAGAGTATAATTTCATGCAATCCGAAAATGGAATGACGTTACCAAAGAAGTGCCTAACAAACTGTAGTATTTTTATGAAAATTACAAGGATATTTTTACATCTGTATTGTAAATTAACAAAGACATATACCGCACAAACCGGGAATGTTTTATGCTACATAAATGTACCACAACTGAACAGATAACGCCTGCCATTAGTGAATTGGTCTGTTGCTATAGGTGTGGTCAGCCTGTTTGTTCGATCACCTACGTGAACAAAATATGTGTATTTATAAAACAGTTTTTTTATGAATTATATACGTCTACACTTGACCGACAGATCGAGTTAGTCAGTTATGACATTCCCCGAATACCAGTCTCGAGTATGTCACCGACTACATTGTCAGGAGCTGGATTTACATCGACTTGATGATAATCACTGGAATGTAGTTTACGCCAACAATGCACAAAATCTTAAATATCTTTGTGTGTAGACACTATATCCGTACTGTATACGACTCATGTATACTACAATGTATCATTACTTACAACACTACTGGAAGCATACAAATACAACTTGTCTTTGTTTCCTTTCGGAGTTTTTTGCGGTTTTGCAGTTTATATGGAGCAAAAGTTATCCCTATCTATTTGAAAATATTATGTCCGTATACCTGAGAAGTGTTTTTGCATGCGACCAGGATTATTCAATCACAGACCTACGAGTCTTTAATTCATAATAATGTCTACTTAAATCCGTGCCTATCCTGGGGCCCCGGGTAATGATGTATATCCTGGGGGTTACACGCAGTCCAGCTCGCCCTCGGCCTTGTTTACTGTTCGTCAATATGATGTATTATAGCGCTGCTTACGTTAAAGTGATCTTGTATTATCTAATTGCATATCACTGTCCGCCTTTGCAAGCGGCTCCATGTCTACGTCCATCAACATGTAATTGTTTGTAATATATGCATGTTTTCCTTAATTCTATATACACTGCAGTAGTGACAAATCACATATGATGTTTAGACCATAAGGGTTTGAGAATCCATTCCAGGTTTCTACGGCCCAACTTGGCCTGCGTTTTATAGGAGCTCTCTGAAATGTATAAATATGGGATGTATTTCATGGACATTCCGCGAGTGTGGCTAATATTTAGACCGGATCTTTGAGTACTCGCGAAGATAATAAATTATTAACGACAGGAATGAAATGTTTGATTTGTAAATTAAACAATATGAAATGTGTTTTTTTTGTCACCCTTTTATCATTTTGATATTTATTGAAATGTGATGAAATGATATTCTAATGAAGACCAGTACAGACTAGCTTGTAATATTTTTCAGGAACGATACAACAGATGCAATTTATCTATATGTAATATAATACACGATGTTGAAGGGTTCGTAGAAATGCAGCTAATATGCACAATAAATTTTAAAACGCAGTATCAACACATTTCCTTTCAGCGTCCGAATAAATAAGTAAACTGGATCGTTTGGCAACCGACCATTGGTTGATCCTAGTGCACTCTCAATCTTGAACTTTGACCTCGCGCTACAGCAATGAAACTGCATTTCAATGTTTTGTTATCTCCGGATGTTGAAGAGTTACGTGTAATTGAAAAGTCAACTAATCGTCCTTACAAAGGACAAATAAACCACAGACAAGCGGAACGGAATAGTGTGCAATTATTAATGTAAATTCTGGTTTGTGTGAGATTCATGTGCTCACCCTGTTATTTTTCAATTTTTTGAGTTTATATGTAAATTCGTTTGTTTTATTGATAAAAACTACAAAAAAGGACGATAAGGACAACCCAACCGACAGTTTTTTTTTATGTCTCGGGCCCGCTGCTTGGATGCTGCATATGTACTCCTGTGTCATATTGCATCACGAGTTTCAGTCTCACCTTCGGGTCAGGTGAGCTAAAATGATATATTTTGACTTTTAATCATTTTATTTTGCCTTATCACTGCACTACGTATTAACAAACAAAGCCATTGGTGCATACTTTGACCCAATGGAAATTCATGTCACAACGTCCCGTCAGGAGACCGCATATCATGACGATATTTGTGGTTCTACGTCATACATCTTCGCTGATACGTCTAAATTAAGGTGAAATGACACGGTCATTGGTCGTTATGAATGTTGAATATGAGACAATGAACAGAACGTTAATGTAGCATGTCATGATTAAGTCATGGATGGTGGTTGGAGGAGTTACTGTAAGAAATTAAGATAAAATGTTTTATTGGAAACGACAATGTTTAAGTTTTTGAAGCTTTGGTGAAATTACCTATTTTCTTGTAAAGAGGACAATAAACATGTTATAGTACTTCAAAGAAATATTTGTGTGAAGTTTGAAATAGAAGCTGTTGATGTAAGGCTGCGGATATGAGAGGCTATGTACATGACAAGTTTGATTGATGGCGCCTGATTCAGAGTACGTCATACCGTTATACACACACCTGGTCACCACCCTGACACGGAAACAGCTCTCGTTCACACGGTACTTAGCTACTTATCAGTACTCATCTCTTAATTGTTGTGCCAATCGAAGTTCTGTCCACAACTGTGTGTAAAAAAAAGTTTGAGACCATGCCCTCAGATGTCACTGAAGACCCTACGGAGGTAAACGAGGAAGATTTAAACAAAAAACGCCTTCCGTCGTACATTTCGAGGGGGTCCGAAAGACTCCCGCGGCTTCCACCTCCTCGCCCTCCTTTCGGAGGACCAGGGAGAGTGCCCCGGCCAGATTTCGGGGGACCAATTATAGGACCACGGCCAGACGTCGTAAAGGGAAATGACAGACCATTCGTTCACCACACTTCTGGACTCAAATGCACAGGTACTTCTCTGGCACCGTCTGAACTATATCCCTGTTGTTGATTTTCCATTTTTGGGTAACAACACCCTCCCAAACTAATGGTGTTTATATGTGGAAGTTGATTCTATATTTTTCGTGCAAGAAGTCGTCAACTTATTGACAAATTCGTAACACAGATTTTCAACAAATGCAGGTTGATGGAAATTATGGGAAGGGTTTACGGCCGTCATAGTGATCTCATTGAGAAATATTCTATTTCTTTGTGTGATATAAAGCTGAAGGTGTTTGATGCTCGTTAGTTTGTCTGTTGGTTACATTGTTGTATACCTTGTTCTTTCTTATTGAAGAACGTGAATTTACTTACTTTGATTGACCAAGGTTTTCATGGCGTTTGTCGTCGATAACCAGAAGACGCGTACTCTCCGAAACACCTGGTCGTATTATCCTTGTATTTTTCAGGAGTATCCGTGTAAATCTTTCTATCTTTTATATTTTGCCCTAGTTTTATTGAATTTGAGTTTGGATTATGATTATGTTGACATGTTGGTTTTTATACTAGTTATAGAGTCAACCCTATGTAGATAATGTCACAGGGTTCTGAACCAGGTTCTGAACCCATGTACTGTCGAGTAGAATATCCATACCCCATATATGTTCTTAGTGTCATCAATATCTTTCCTGTAGAATTACCAAGAGCCATTACAGTCGTAATGTTTTGTGATGCATTAATAAATGTGCTAGTTATAACTCAAAAATCTAAAAAAAAAAAAAAAAAGAAAGAAAAAAAAGGTCATGGTTTTAATTGTTGGTAGACCCAAGTATGTCATCAAATTAAATCATGGCGAATGCACTGAAAACTGTCCAACCTGACATCAACATGTTAGTTCACGACAACAAACTTGCCTTATCCTGGAGCAATGTTCATATATAATTGTAGACCGGGATCGTCCATCACACGTGATGCGTTCTCGTGACGTCCACAGTTACAAATGTCACATAGTGTAAATTTAGCATTAATGTTGTGTCAGAGAAGTATGTGTTGTATATACACAGTGTGTCTGAGGTTGTGTGTGGGATTGTAAACGTCAGTAAAGTGGATCGCCCAAATACTGTATCGATAAAGTCATACTTGAATTGTCATGAATTTGAGGCCGGACTCTCTCCTCTTGTCAAACTTTAAGTGGATTAATTACTGTCTTCAACTTGTTGATAAACAAATAAATCCGTTTTAAAGCTTTTTGTACTTCCGGAAGCCTGATCACTGTTCCGACCGCTGTATAATAATAAAATGTCAGACCGAGAATGCCCCAACACAGTTGTATACGATTATTACCAAGACCTGGATTTTACAATCCTGTTTCATCTAACAACTGTTCTTGTATGCTCAATCATTTCCTGAAACTTCCTACAAGGCAGACAATACAATATCGAAAACGAAAGAATTTGTCTGAAACAGCTGAAATGATCACCGCGAGGGATATAACGATGTCGTATGTTTATTCAGACAATCTTACAAAAGACAAAGTATTCCTTTTAGAGCAAGTGTTTCACAATAGTCTACATCGACACTGTAAACACCATGAAACAATTTGTTTTTTTTCTGTCATTGTTTGTCATAACAGCTGCCTGACTGTCTCATTTTTTCACTGGTCCAGTAAAAGTTCGAAATTCGCAATGAAACGAGGAGCAAATTTTAAAAATATTATTTCTGTGTTATATATTTTGATCAAAAACTCGGTTATATTTTATGCATAATAAAGGTAACAAGCATGAATATGCTACCCTGGTCCCGATTCTCTGGTTTTCTGGTCGTCCTCGGAATTATTTATCATCAAATAAGTATTTAAATAGTATGTTTTTTGTTAACGACCTTGGTCAAAATACAACAACTGCTCCGAGTGCATCATGGCAAAACTGATGATCTGACTCAACGTGGACATTGTACAAGGTCTTATTTTAGTCTAAATATATTTAAATTGATATTGAATTTCCAATCTAAGCCGTCTGGAATTACCTCCCTTTATCAACGTTAGATAATGCTTCATTCATGTAGAATATTATTAAAGTACTGCGAGTGCGATGGGTTTGATCAGCACTGTTATTTCCGAAATATACTTTTTTTTCAATGCAAATGACACACTTTCCATATGAATGTTGCAAGACGAAGTTTGGTAGTTAAATAAATGGTGTAAGTTTGCAAATATACTGGCACGCTGAGTGACGAAAAAGTAAGCTTATGAGACTGATTTACATGGACTTTGAAACAGGCGTGGTACAGTAGGTATCATGAAGCTTTTCGCTCAATTAATGAAAACAGAAATAAAAATGAATAAATATATAAGGATAAACGAAAACATGTTGATATTTTGCAAATACAAACTTAGGTTAAAACGCAGCTAACGAGTAATTAGTGTATTATTTTTCTAAACCTTCAATAAACACAAAAGAGTTAGACTTTTTAAGTACAGTAATATATAAAAACTCATCACCTCTTAGCTTTTAATTATAAAAAAAGGATACTTATGTTTGCAACCTCTTCTTCGAAATCTATTAAAAATATTACATAGGCAAATCACATGACGATCCTCAAACTTCTCTGTCTTCATACATGTATACCTTACTTCTCTCTCCTCTTGTTGAACACAGTGTAGCATGTACATACACCCTCTCCACCAATTTTACACTTCGAACACAGAATTCTTACACAATACAATCATAACACGACATTTCTGATACATGTTGACGACAGTCCTAACGAGGTCCTCACGCTGTGCGTGGCCCTGAGGACAGGTGACTCACGTTTATTACACACAAGTACACAATAATGGACACAGTTAGATGAACAGGTACAAACATGGACCGATCTACAGACATTCTCGAACACGAGCTGGAAAAGCTGCAGGATCGAACATTTTGTGATGACGATGGTAGTGTTTTACTTGTTCTTGTGTTGATAGTTTGTCATTGGTTTTGTGTTGTTTTATTTCAGAAACTATACGATTTCATTTTCATCCATTTGATGACAGGAGGCACTTAAATAACAAGGACAAGTGACATAAATATACCGTCACAGCTTTGGCTTTCATGGTGACTGAATATGATGAGATCATTTAAACTTACAAAAACCAACACGAGTCGTGAAAAAATGCATTGTGTGAAAAGGCTTACAGATCTTTTGTGATATTTTTCTGGAAACATGATGCATTTTTGTTGCAAGTGTGCATGATACATGGAATCTGCGTTAATCACGAAATATTGACCTACAGTAATTGTCCTTTTTTGCCGTGTTTCAGACTACTATAACAGACCACAGGGTCGCCAATGTTGTCTCCGGGCTGTCCGCTGTTTCGACCATCTTCCAGAGATACTGGAGGAAATAGACAGCTATGATGACACACAAGCAAACAAGTTGTTGGTCTGCAGGTACGTCATGGAAATGTACTAAGAAATGAAACGAAGAACAATACAACACAACGTTTTACACTACACTACACTACACTACAACACAATACAATACAATACACTACACTACAACACACTACACTACACTACAAAACAACACACTACACTACACTACAACACACTACATTACACTACAACACACTACAACACACTACACTACACTACAATACAATACAATACAATACAATACACTACACTACAACACACTACACTACACTACAATACAATACACTACAACACAACACACTACACTACAAAACAACACACTACACTACACTACAACACACTACATTACACTACAACACACTACAACACACTACACTACACTACAATACAATACAACACACTACACTACAACACAACACACTACACTACACTACAACACACTACACTACACTACAATACAATACAATACACTACAACACAACACACTACACTACACTACAAAACAACACACTACACTACAACACACTACATTACACTACAACACACTGCAACACACTACACTACACTACACTACAACACACTACACTACAAAACAACACACTACACTACACTACACTACAACACACTACACTACACTACAATACAATACAACACACTACACTACAACACAACACACTACACTACACTACAAAACAACACACTACACTACACTACAACACACTACATTACACTACAACACACTACAACACACTACACTACACTACTCTACACTACACTACAACACACTACACTACACTACAATACAATACAATACAATACAATACAACACACTACACTGCACAACAACACAACACAACACAACACACTACCCTACACTACACTACAAAACAACACACTACACTACAAAACAACACACTACACTACACTACAAAACAACACACTACACTACACTACACTACAAAACAACACACTACATTACACTACACTACACTACAAAAAACACACTACACTACACTACAAAACAACACACTACACTACACTTCACTACACTACAAAACAACACACTACACTACACTACAACACAACACACTACACTACACTACATTACACTACAATACAACACAACACAACACCTAACACTACACTACATATCAAACTACACTACACCATACCACACCACACTACACTACACGACACTACACTACAAAACACTACACTACACTACAACACACTACACTACACTACAACACAACACACTACACTACACTACAACACAACACTCTACACTACACTACACTACACTACAACACACTACACTACACTACAATTGGCCGATCGACAACGCAAAGATAACCACGCCTACCGAAAATAAAGGGAGGCTACTCTTACCATCCCCGACAAACAAAATGTCATCAACATTGAACGTCATTCCCAATGATATCGGACTTAATTATACTTCTAACGTGTCGTTGAAGAAAAAACTAAAAGCAAACGGTTTCGTGTCTGGGTCATACTTTCAACGAGCGTCCTTCCAAACAAGAGACGATGATACAGTTGAAATTAGTGGCCATGTTTTCCCCAGTCAGCGGAAAAATTTGGGGATATACCCGTTTTCAGTCGAATATTTATGAGGTTTTCCTTTTCAAATAAGGTTAACATGGCAAATCACTGCATTTATTCAATATATATACCAATCAATAGGGAATTCAAAATACTAAATTTGTATCTATGAATTACAGCCCATTCCGTTATTGAAGGAGTAAAAACTGTCTTTTTCATTTGACTCATATTGCCAGGACCCAGTAAGTCGCCACATTACTACGATCCGTTTTTCAGACGAGTATTTCTGAGACGGTTTTTTACTTTTTAAACTAATTTCATATGTGGTAGCAGTGCAATAATTAAATAAAGAAATATACCGGTCCTTAGGGAATTTAATAACCTAAAATTATGTAGATATATTTTTTAGCCCCTTTCCTCCTTGAATGACTTAAAACTGTTTCCGTGAAATCGATAATTTTGCCATTTTAACAGTCAATGTCGCTTTTATGGTTCATCTTTGAAAATTTTTATTTCTTGTAAAGTGGTCACAGTAACCTATATTTTCATATATATATATAAAAAATTTTTTTTTCGCTGAAGATACCCTTTAAACACCACACAATGTTGAATCTGTTGATGTTTTTTTCCTCTTTATATTTTTGATAATAATTAAAAACAAAACAAAGTTCAAGTGGTGTGATTGTTTTCTATGGAGCAGAATTAATGAAATAAAAATAAAAACAGTCGCCATGCAGGGTTAGCTCAGTTGGTAGAGCATAGGCTCCACGATCAGAAGGGTGCAGAGGGCCGGGTGGGTTTGAATCCCGGCAGCAGCAATTTCTTTCACCTCTGTTTCAAGTGGGAAGGAAGTGGTAAACCCCAAAGAAACAAACAAAACAAGTTTGCTTTTACAGTCATATAAAGTCTTTATAAAATGGCCACCAAGGTACATCACTGATATAATGGTTACTTTCTAAACTGGCATTAAATTCTTAAATTTTTGGTTTTTTTATATCATGTTAATGTTTTTTTTTCAACAAGAATATTAATACCTTATTGGAAGACTTTAAGATTTTATTTCAACTGTTTAACCATAACAGTAAACATTCATTTTATCACAGACCATTCACAAAGTAAAACTTTGTAAAAGAGCAGAAACATGTCCAGATGATTTCATTTCCCTTCAGTCAATAAATATCCGAAAATGGTCAGTCCGAAATCAAGCTTGTTTATAAATACACACATTAACATGCGACTTATTAGCACATGAGAGAGGATTATAAAACTTATGCTAGCAAAATTTTGAGTGAAAAACAAATACTGATGTTCATTGCAATATTGTACACGTGAGTCTGTGAATATTAACGCACTTTTGAGCAGACATAAATAAAAAATGCTTTCCTTTAGAAGGACACCACAGGATCTCCTCGTTAAGTTGATACTTAGGCCGTCCGCACAATCGGAGCCAAGATTTGCACTTCTCATGCTTCATCCACAGGCACTCGAGGCCAGGATATTATTTTTTAAACATTGATTTTTGTTTTAGCACTCATAACTGACGTTATTTAAACGAAATATCAGCAGAATTCACGTTTATGTGCCGGTTGACAAATCCGAGGTCCACGGTCATTAAAAATACACAAGGCAAGCAACTCCAGATTTTAAAAAATCGACCCCTCGCTTGGAAACTGGCTCAAAAATGTAGTTATGATAAGTTCCTTGTAAAACAATATGTATCCGTAGGTAGTGTGTATATTTACCTTTTATTTGGTGCATAACATTACAGGCAACGAGAAATTCACAATACGTACATGAGATTAACATCTCAATAACCGGAGATTTTATCGTCCATGTAATTATCTTTGACGGAAGTAACATGTCATTTCAAGGGCGGTCACTCCGAGTTTTTGGGAGAGGAGTTCCGGATAGCACTATACCAGTGAACAGGTAAGAAAGGTTCCGATGTCATTACGCGCGTAACTTCAAAATAGATATTTTTATTTCTACAAATACATATGCGGGGATGGAAAAATAATGGCTGGGCAAAAAAGTCCACATTTGCCAACTCGGATACAATATCATGGTAAGGGATTATACAGAATGCATCAACTTTCAATCAAGCTGGCGGTAATGAGAATTTTTTTTCAAAAAAAAAATAGAAAAAAATCATGCAGATAATGAAAAAAGGGCGCAATTTATGAAAAATATCGTGGGGGAAATATATTAACTTAGAAATTGGAAATTAAATGATTTTTTCCATAGTGATTTTTGTCAAGTTATTGAGAATATTTGAAAAGAAATACATATTACTTATTAACCAAGAGGCCCAAAGGGCTTGTATTGCTACAGGTACTGTATGTTTTGGCAAACGTCCATACAATGGACTTCCTGACCAAATATCATGACCCAAGGCCTTTTTGGTTATCAGAAGATGTTATTTAAGGGTTTATCCATGACCTTGAATATAATGTCAAAGTAATATTTCATTATCTGCGTGATTTTTTTCTTATTTTTTTTTTGAAAAAAAAATCTCATTACCGCCAGCTTGATTGAAAGTTAATGCATTCTGTATAATCCCTTACCATGATATTGTATCCGAGTTGGCAAATGTGGACTTTTTTGCCCAGCCATTATTTTTCCATCCCCGCAAATGTATTTGTAGAAATAAAAATATCTATTTTGAAGTTACGCGCGTAATGACATCGGAACCTTTCTTACCTGTTCACTGGTATAGTGCTATCCGGAACTCCTCTCCCAAAAACTCGGAGTGACCGCCCTTGAAATGGCATGTTACTTCCGTCAAAGATAATTACATGGACGATAAAATCTCCGGTTATTGAGATGTTAATCTCATGTACGTATTGTGAATTTCTCGTTGCCTGTAATGTTATGCACCAAATAAAAGGTAAATATACACACTACCTACGGATACATATTGTTTTACAAGGAACTTATCATAACTACTTTTTTTGAGCCAGTTTCCAAGCGAGGGGTCGATTTTTTAAAATCTGGAGTTGCTTGCCTTGTGTATTTTTAATGACCGTGGACCTCGGATTTGTCAACCGGCATATAAACGTGAATTCTGCTGATATTTCGTTTAAATAACGTCAGTCATGAGTGCTAAAACAAAAATCAATGTTTAAAAAATAATATCCTGGCCTCGAGTGCCTGTGGCTTCATCTGAGATTTGGGAAACGGTATGAACACAACACCTCCCTATAATCGCTCGGGGTAGCGAAATCGGTGTTGCAAGTTCCCCAGCAGCAAAGTATCACCATTGTCGGAGAATGTCGGAGTAGCGAAATGTAAACAAAGAGGCGAATACTACTCGCGATCTGATTGGCTAAACCGCGCTGTCAATCAAAAGCTGTCGATCGGCCAATAGGTGTTTCAGCCACGTTCGGTGTAACTAAATTTGAATGAAATTGGTGTTTCAGCCACGTTCGGAGTTCCCTAACATGTATGAGTACTGCGCTGAAACAGAAACAGTGCCGAAGTACTGCCAAGGATATCAACGAAAAATTTAAGCCACAACTTACCGTTATCAACAGATTTTTCGACCCACACTGCGTCAATATAGGTGAGTTTTTTTCCCAATGCAATTATAGCCAAAGATTGAAAATGTAATTTCAAAATAAAGAAATAGAATGATAATAAAAGAAAACTTGAATATCCAGATGTCACGAATAAAGCCATGTGCCTAGAGCAAATTACAATACTTACCTGGACATTGACTTAAACAGGACAGGAAACGACGACTCCATCAGCCCGAGGCGAAGGTCACCAAGGATCTGGTGGTGACAGTCACGTGAATGCTGGGATCATAGGGGCCAGTGTTGGAGGTTTCATTCTGATAGGAATACTCGTTCTTATTTGCCTTTTCATCAAACGGAGGATGCCAAAAAGAAGGTAAATCTATGTACCTTTTCTTTCAAAACAAGCATTCCTGTTCCAAGAAATCGCCAGGGATACTCGCTACCCGGCGAGAGGAGTGTACGGTTGAATTATATAATTGTTATTTTATACAGCAAAATAATTTGAAAGAAGAATGATACCGGAAAGAAGAAAAGAAAAAATAATATTTTTCCTTTCAAGAGTTCAAACATAACCACACCCAGTTGTCAAAATCTATAGTTCCTAATGTCTTAACCTAATGACATTCAGACGATAGGATTTCGCGTAAGATAAAATCAACAATTGCTGTTTTATGACAAATCTGTTAAGGACAAGCAATAAAATTGAATAAATCAAGTTTGATAAATATAATGTAATGTCAAATCACTTTCCCACTCTCAAGTCAGTATTTTGGATTCAGAATAGATTTTTTAAAATAACGTTCGCATAGTAATTCTTTATGCCGGGGACGTGTCAGTTCTTAAATGATTGAAACAATGTCAATTGATTAAGGTCTGATGTCACTAACCTTAAGCAGTGCTCATAGGCTGGTTCGTGGGATATCATTTCTTAAAGACTCTCGATCCATCGTGGCTATTTGGAATGTTGTTCATGCAATGTTGTTCCAAAACTGATGTTATATTTGCTGTATACTTTCAGCCAATCAAAGAAGACTTCTCGCGATAACGACATGAACAATAAACGTGAATCGTCTCGTTACAAGGATATGGAGTTTAACCAGGTTCAGAGACAGCACTCAGACGTGTATGCGGAAATCGACGAGCGTTCCGTGAGTATATTCTCAAAGTCCTCAGTCTCCCTATTCCAGTTTAATTCCCTATCTTAGGAATACTATGAAGTTTAGAAATTAAATAAACTTTTTGGTTTAATACAACACCAAATTTCATCCAAAATTTAATCTAAAGGCGTCGATTTATTTGATTATTTTAGCGTTAATATGCATTCATTTTATTTAATAGATGAATTCATTCCGAAATCCGGAAATGAACGGTTACCTCGAACCAGATGGAGTGCGACCTCTACCATCTGCCCCTCCGAACGGAACAATCCCGGAGGACCAGCAAGGTTATCTAACTCCCCAGATCCGGAAGGACAGTGTCCCTGTACCCGAAGAAGCTTCTGGAGGTTACACAGTGTTACAGAGCGCCGAGGATGGAACGGTGTCGTATACAACCCTCCGACCCGCCGAACCCGACGACGACGCCGATTACATTTCTCCAGACGAGGACGCAGCCTCACCAAAACGACGAAGTGTTCCCGGGTCACAGGTCGGCAAGTCTCAACCCATACCAAAGCCGAGACAGCCGTCCACGGGGGAGGAACCTTACCACGCCTACTTCATACTAGAAAAGGAAAATATTGAACACGTGTGAACGCTACAGGCATGTTACAATTTTCGGTGTTCAGAAAATACTATTCCATCTAGCTTGTTGGGTTTACGTAGCAGTCATACCAAAAAGTGCATGAAACCATTATTACGGACAAGTGTAAGTACAAAATGTGTATCAACAGTACATAATGTATGACACATTAGTCCCTAAATAGGAACTACATAATCTCGAATGGGAAACTTGACGTGAAAAAAGTGTGAATGCATTTAGTCCCCGACTTGCAACAAGATACATTCAACCGGAATCTTGATGGATAACTTCAAGCACGTGTCAACTTCTTAAGCATATGTCTCTGACGCATGCCTTTTTTTTATCAAACACGTGTAACTTGATATTCAGGATTACAAGTACGTACCTGTGCATACATGTAGGACGACCTTAAGCTCTTCATGGCTATGTGTTCATTTCTACTGAGGAATTTGAGCACGCATAAAACTTAAGTTCATATCCGTGATGAGGGACCTTCAACACGCGGAAACACGTTATATATGATGGAGGATCAAAGACGTAAATATGATTTTGTTTCTTGAAACGTTTGGTCATGATGGAGGGCCAAGAGCACGGCCAGATTTGAAACGTTTGGCCATGATGGAGGGCCAAGAGCACGGCCAGATTTGAAACGTTTGGCCATGATGGAGGGCCAAGAGCACGGCCAGATTTGAAACGTTTGGCAATTATGGAGGGCCACGAGCACAGCCAAGGCTTGTTCGGATACGTTGGTGCGTTCGCTGACGGACAACTTTCGTTTTCTATATATTAAACAAGAACGTGTATATATCGAGAGACGAACTCTATCAGTGGTAGACTTCTGTGTTGAATTATTTGTGTTTATTTATCAGGATGTACGCGTTCACGATAAAGGATGCATCTAGAGTGCAAACTAACCCTTTTAAATCAAATGTGCCATTATATCAGAAATACAGTATTACTGTTTTTTAAGAATGTGTAGTAAGGATTGCCAGCAAAGCGACTATAGTCGTGTCACATTTGGAGGTCTTGCTGATTCCTAGCTTCATTGTTTTATAAGAATCCTTTTTCAATTATTGATGGATAAACATTTTGTCTACACCAGGAAACCATATCAGCGATTAAACAAAGACAATGACATGTAATAAGTTTGTAGTGTGTCGATAATTGAAACGAAACAGGCTGGTCTGCTAGTAAAATGATTATTAATGTTGGTGGTTTGGCATCTATCATAGGGCATCGGGCGAAAGTCTAGTAATATGAATCAGAAAATATTACATGTCAACAAAAACGGAAATATTATAAGTTAAAAATGATGAAATAGGCGAAAAAATTACTGATTACTTTATTAGAAAAATGAGTTTAAAAATTATTCCCAAGAAAGAATTTTATTACATTTTTGCCAGCGAAATATACACAAACATCTTGCTCATAAAAGTGTTAGTTTTCACTAGTGAAAAATAACACTTGTAGACTTACACCAATGAAAAGAGAGAACACAAATCATCTTATAAAAAAATGATAAATCACAAAGCCCGGTACAAAAAACAAAACACCTGAAACATGAAGGGGTTGTTTAATAGTAACATGACTTTCAATTCCATGGTAACCGTTCACTTCCATGGGAGTCAGAAAACAATGCAAGCCAGTATCCCAAATGACCTTATCAGTGTCCAAACCCAATCCCCAACCGAATGACTTGAGTCGGACATTTCAAGAAGATTCATGTCAATAGCGACAGCTAGGTTGCCGCCATATTGTCAGCTGCGTATTTTGTCACTCTATGAATGTTTTACTATATAATTTGTCTGTTAGTGACATTTTCTATGAAAAAAAAAAAAAAAAATAGACATTCAACAATTATTTTGTGTTAATATATTTTTAATGATTTCAACAAAAGGACTGACTACAATTTGCCTATTTTGCTTGTAAAAATGTAATGAATAGATTATTCAATAGTGTCTTCAGCAATAATAAGTAGATTTCACTTGTGTGGCTAATATTTTGTTCATCTTTCACTCGGCGTGCTGCACTCGTGAAATAAACTTAAACATTACATACATTTGTGAAATATGTTTGTTATTACCAGAGACACTTTTAAATATCCTCTATTTCTATCATTTCATTACAAAATGATGATTTTACATGACCCCTGGCCAATGGCCCGTTACCTAACTCTTCTTAAGAATCATAAACTGTAGTGACAATCATTCACACGATCGTGAGGCGCCATATTTTCACAAATCACCACAATGAAACGGTACATGTAACTTACCAAGAGTAACACAGCTCACTTTGTCATACTCTGAATAAGTCCGGTGAGGTATGATACTACTAGTTAAACGCGCGAGATGTTTTTGAGAGAAGAGTGATCGAGTATACAAGTATATATAGGCATACCATTTCTGCACAGTTAAGTGCCCCATAACAATATTAAAAGTTATGCAATTAGCCATATGACCGGTTATATTATGTTTATAATGACGAATTCGTTATAGAATCTAATAAAAAAGAGTCAGGTCCGTATATACAAAAACACCAGATGTACTCCGTCTGTATTTTTTGTCGGTATCTGGCATACGGATTGCTCCATCGGTAAGCAAACAAGCCATTTTGTTTCGAAATGAAAATGCATTCTCATCATGTTATAATTGACGGACAGCTACTTAGATGCTGGCCTTTTGAGTGCCGACGCAGAAACATGCTCTGGGCACAAAATTCATTAGGGATTTCTCCAACTTTGAACCAGTATTTTGATACTGGCATTCAATGATAGTAGGGTTTTCTTCAGTAATTCGGATTTCGGTTTCCGTCGATATCAAGATATCATTGAGTGTGGTGTCAACTTTCAACAGAGTTTCTGAGTATTTATAGATGTGATATAGCTTTGACCCTTCTCTAGATTGATTCAGTTGGGGTTTTCTCATTTGGGGCTTACTCAGTTGAGGCTTACTCAGTTGGGGCTTACTCAGTTGGGGCTTACTCAGTAGGGTCTTATTTGGGGCTCACTCAGTTGAGGCTTACTCATTTGGGGCTTACTCAGTTGGGGCTTATTCATTTGGGGCTTACTCAGTTGGGGCTTATTCATTTGGGGCTTATTCATTTGGGGCTTACTCAGTTGAGGCTTACTCATTTGGGGCTTACTCAGTTGAGGCTTACTCAGTTGGGGCTTACTCAGTTGGGGCTTACTCAGTAGGGTCTTATTTGGGGCTCACTCAGTTGAGGCTTACTCATTTGGGGCTTACTCAGTTGGGGCTTATTCATTTGGGGCTTATTCATTTGGGGCTTACTCAGTTGAGGCTTACTCATTTGGGGTTTACTCAGTTGGGGCTTACTCATTTCGGGTTTACTCAGTTGAGGCTTACTCAGTTGGGGCTTACTCAGTTGAGGCTTACTCATTTGGGGCTTACTCAGTTGAGGAGCTTATGAGAACAGCAGATAAATACATTACTAATGTCACTTTCACGTACATGGATTTTGTTTACAGTCCTCTACAAAAATTTTGTTTCTGAAAATGTATAGGCGATGGCTACTTCTGAACAATAAGAAACGATATCATTAAAACTGTAATAATCAACATCGCATACACTAATCATCATTACAAGCAATAACAGAAGCAGTTACACGAACCATTCTGTTTCTTCAAAAGCAAGCAGTGAAGATAACTTTCTGCTAATCTGATGAATGTGGTGATTTTCCTAATGCAAATGTTCAGCTTGTTATAACATTTATGCGGTCCTAACATCATGACTACGGTCCTAACATCATGACTACGGTCCTAACATCATGACTATGTTTTGTCAGAGCTCCTGTTTATTCCCTGGGCCAAGTTTTGTCGAAATTCTTTCTACCGAATAGAAGAAGTATTTTAAAGACTAACCGCTCACTCTGTCCCTCCACCGAGCCTAACCACCAACAAAAATGTTTTCTTCACTCAAGAATGTTCTTGGCCAAATATGATCAAACTCCCTTATTCCAAACAAAAAAAGGATTTTGAAGATTAACACCCGTGTCTCTGTACCAGTAAGTCATATTTTTGCAAAATTATGACCACTCAGATCAAATTTGATCAAATATACTTTACAAAGAAATGTTCAAAGATGAACTGTTGCTGGAATCATTGACACAAAAGACCAGACTTTGTTGTAATAGTGATATTTATATCAGATATGTACAATGGATTTAATTCAGCAACTAAAACAGTAAAAATCATCAAAAAAAAAAAAAAAAAGAAAACCTGAGGCATCCCTGCATCAATCACTGTTATCCCAGCTATCTCCATATTTGTTCTGACCTACAAAAAACACAATTATAATCTCTTTACACTGGCATACAATAATATGTAGTACATTACATGTGCCTTCCCCAAAACATAAAGGGAGAGCTAACAAGAGACCCCAGTGGAACTTCGCATTTGGTCTATATTTGTTCATTAAAATTTGTCCTTCTTTTCTCTTCTTTCCTTGGTTCTTGCTTTTAAACGGCCACAATGGAATATTCTTTGCAGCTATTAATGATAATAATATTTGTTAAATCCAAGATGATTGCCATTTTTCTGATTAGTCCCAAAATCAAAACTGCACATCTCAGGACCAAGGAGTACCCACAAATACAATTTCAGAAATATCCATGCATTATGATAATAATGATAACAAACTTTCATTGTCAAAATCCAAGATGGCTACTATTAGTCATATTGTTTTTCTGATCAGTCCCAAAATGAAAACCAATATACCAGAAAATTCTAGAACGATCCATCCAGTACTAGTGCAATAGTGACAACATATAGTTTGTTTACAGAAGGATGGAGAACGGCCTGACAACAAACAATGGAAGTAGGGCAATTTGTATATCACTTGATAAAGATGATAACACATGACAGAAAAAACAATACACTTGATCTGGTACTCATCTTTCATACTGAAAATGTTAACAATCAAAACAATGTTTATATTAAATGTACCTACTCAAGTTTTGACCTAAAGTGACAGATAGATATATTCTTTGACCTTATTTGGACCTTTACTGACAATACCTGTGTGTGGTCCGTGTTTTTGTCAGACCTTTACTGACAATACCTGTTTGTGGTCTGTGTTTTTGTCTAACCTTTACTGACAATACCTGTGCTTGATCGGTGTTTTTGTCGGACCTATACTGACAATACCTGTGTGTGGTCTGTGTTTTTGTCTAACCTTTACTGACAGTACCTGTTTGTGGTCTGTGTTTTTGTCAGACCTTTACTGATAATACCTGTGTGTGGTCTATGATTTTGTCGACCTTTACTGACAATACCTGTGTGTGGTCTGTGTTTTTGTCAGACCTTTACTGACAATACCTGTGTGTGGTCTGTGTTTTTGTCAGACCTTTACTGACAATACCTGTGTGTAGTCTGTGTTTTTGTCAGACCTTTACTGACAATACCTGTTTGTGGTCTGTGTTTTTGTCTAACCTTTACTGACAATACCTGTGCTTGATCGGTGTTTTTGTCGGACCTATACTGACAATACCTGTGTGTGGTCTGTGTTTTTGTCTAACCTTTACTGACAGTACCTGTTTGTGGTCTGTGTTTTTGTCAGACCTTTACTGACAATACCTGTGTGTGGTCTATGATTTTGTCGACCTTTACTGACAATACCTGTGTGTGGTCTATGTTTTTGTCAGACCTTTACTGACAATACCTGTGTGTGGTCTATGATTTTGTCAGACCTTTACTGACAATACCTGTGTGTGGTCTGTGTTTTTGTCAGACCTTTACTGACAATACCTGTGTGTGGTCTATGATTTTGTCGACCTTTACTGACAATACCTGTGTGTGGTCTATGTTTTTGTCAGACCTTTACTGACAATACCTGTGTGTGGTCTGTGTTTTTGTCAGACCTTTACTGACAATACCTGTGTGTGGTCTGTGTTTTTTTTGTCAGACCTTTACTGACAATACCTGTGTGTGGTCTGTGTTTTTGTCAGACCTTTACTGACAATACCTGTGTGTGGTCTATGTTTTTGTCAGACCTTTACTGACAATACCTGTGTGTGGTCTATGATTTTGTCGACCTTTACTGACAATACCTGTGTGTGGTCTGTGTTTTTGTCAGACCTTTACTGACAATACCTGTGTGTGGTCTGTGTTTTTGTCAGACCTTTACTGACAATACCTGTGTGTAGTCTGTGTTTTTGTCAGACCTTTACTGACAATACCTGTGTGTGGTCTATGTTTTTGTCAGACCTTTACTGACAATACCTGTGTGTGGTCTATGATTTTGTCAGACCTTTACTGACAATACCTGTGTGTGGTCTGTGTTTTTGTCAGACCTTTACTGACAATACCTGTGTGTGGTCTGTGTTTTTTTTGTCAGACCTTTACTGACAATACCTGTGTGTGGTCTGTGTTTTTGTCAGACCTTTACTGACAATACCTGTGTGTGGTCTATGATTTTGTCAGACCTTTACTGACAATACCTGTGTGTGGTCTATGATTTTGTCAGACCTTTACTGACAATACCTGTGTGTGGTCTGTGTTTTTGTCAGACCTTTACTGACAATACCTGTGTGTGGTCTGTGTTTTTTTTGTCAGACCTTTACTGACAATACCTGTGTGTGGTCTGTGTTTTTGTCAGACCTTTACTGACAATACCTGTGTGTGGTCTATGATTTTGTCAGACATTTCCTGACAATACCTGTGTGTGGTCTGTGTTTTTGTCAGACCTTTACTGACAATACCAGTGTGTGGTCTGTTTTTTTGTCAGACATTTACTGACAATACCTGTGTGTGGTCTAAGTTTTTGTCTCTTATATAGCTAGATGTGCTATGACATTACCTGTGTTTGATTTTGATTTACTATTGATGTCAGTGAAGAAGCTAGATTCTGTTTCTTTGGGTCTTTTCCATGGGGATGAGTTCTGTTGACTCCTTGCTTGGTATTGTTGTCGTGCTTCACTCATTGTCAATCCTTCGGATCCTGAGGTATTTTCGGTAGATGTGTCTGTCTGATTTTGCCAGCTATCTGAAGTATCTGACAAATCATAGCAACATGAACAAGGGGCTCACAAGCTTTAATGGTCATCTGACTATAAAGACCTATATATAAAAGAGGCTAAACAGGCCTAAAATGAATTGCTCAAATACTCTACAGCTTACAAAGAAGACAAACTAGAAATCATATTCTTAATACATTCTACTACACAAATGCCATTACTCCGAACCTATTTCTAGTTGAAAAAGAAATTTAAAGATCTCAACTCACTTCACCCAAGAGATCTTGAATATAGGGTCAAGGTCAATTATTTGAACAAATCAGTAGCCCTCCATCCACTTGTATATTAATGAACCAATATCAACAACAGCTGGGCCCTTTCGTTATTGAGAGTAAGACATTTAAAGATTTTAACCCATTTGACCCCTGTGACCTTTAAAAAGAGAAAGTTCAAATCACATGAACAAACTTGGTAGCCCTTCTTACTAGCTTGCTACAGGTCTAATATCAGCAATGGAAAGTTTATGCACGTCGCAGAACACACAACGATGGACGAAACACAAAGGCTATACGTCATCCTGACACTTCGGGTCATGATGACCTAACAAGAGACATAATTGATGAATTATCAATTATAATCAGTTTCTTATTTAAAACTGGAACATAGTTCTTGATTTCTTTCATTAAAAAACAAGAGGCTCAAAGGGCTCACCTAGATATTTAAGTCAATAATGCAAAATTTTACATTTCTTTAAAATGAAAAAAAAATTCCCTTTATGAACCTCATCCCACAGATACTGCTTCAAATTCCCTAGGGATGACAACATAAATCACTTGTTAATCTCTTGATCTCCAGCAATGCTTATTGTATGATAATCTCAATGGCTTCAAAGGTATAATCTGTTCTGGGGTGGGACCAGACCCCAGGGCAAATTATCAGTTGTGCTTATGTTTATCTCCTGACACTCAGCATTGCTATAGTTGTTTAGTGGGGATCACAACTATTACAAAGAATTAAAGATCCAGATGAATAATTGATAGAGCAAAGCAATGATATGAAAATAAACTAAATCTACTTGGGGGTTAGATTTTCTCTGTTGAGTCTGTTCATTTGGCCTCAGGGGGCCAAGACCCACCGTTTATATAAAACTGCTTTCCCTTCACCAAAGTGTGCTTCAAAAAAATATGGACAATATTCTGCAATAACTGAAGAACAAGAAATTTATTGCTTTTCCCTAATGGGCCCCACCCTTTAGCCCCAGGGGACTGAGACCAACCATTTATACAAAACTGATTTTCCTTCACCAAGGCATGCTTCAGACCAAATTTGGACAATATCCTGCAATTCCTGAAGAACAAGATAGATTTTTAAAAAATTGATAAATTTTCCCTATTGGGCTCTGCCTCTCTGGCCCAAGGGACCAAAGACCCACTGTTTATACAAACCTGATTTCCCTACATCCAAGCATACTTCAGACCAATTTTGGACAATATCTTGCAATTCCTGAAGAACAAGATAGATTTTAAAGAAATTGACAAATTTTCTCTATTGGGCCCCGCCACTCAGGCCCCAGGGGTCAAGACCAACTTTCTATACAAAGTGGTTTCCCTTCACCCAAGCATGCTTCAGACTAAATTTGGACAATATATGCAATTCCTAAAGAACAAGATAAATTTTAAAGAAATTGATTGATTATCCCTACTGGGCCCCACCCGTCAGGCCACTGGGGACGGAGAGGAGACCCCTCCCCTCTATGTATGCTCAAGACCAAATTTTATTTAAATTGGCCTGGTCATTCTTGAATAGTTGCAATATACAGTAAAAGAAGACAGATACCGGACGCCCAATGGACGACGGAGGCCCTGATATCTCTTTAGCTCACCTGGCCCTTTAGGCCATTTGAGCTAATAAAACTGAATCCTACTTATTTACAAGCTTCACAAAGACTTCCAGTCATAAATTACCTTTAGATAACAATTTAACATAAGGAAATACACTTACTCTGTACATTTCTGTGATCTCTGTCTCGTTAACATAAGGAAATACACTTGCTCTGTACATTTCTGTATCATAATCATACTCCCAGTCAGTTTAAATAGTGATACAGTATTATCAGGGACCATATACAGTGTGTTAAATCATCACTGTATTATCAGGGACCATATACAGTGTGTTAAATCATCACTGTATTATCAGGGACCATATACAGTGTGTTAAATCATCACTGTATTATCAGGAACATTATACAGTGTGTTAAATCATCACTGTATTATCAGGGACCATATACAGTGTGTTAAATCATCACTGTATTATCAGGGACCATATACAGTGTGTTAAATCATCACTGTATTATCAGGGACCATATACAGTGTGTGTGTTAAATCATCACTGTATTATCAGGGACCATATTATCAGGGACCATATACAGTGTGTTAAATCATCACTGTATTATCAGGGACAATATACAGTGTGTTAAATCATCACTGTATTATCAGGGACCATGTGTGTTAAACCATCAGTGTGTTAAATCATCACTGTATTATCAGGGACCATATACAGTGTGTTAAATCATCACTGTATTATCAGGGACCATATACAGTGTGTTAAATCATCACTGTATTATCAGGGACCATATACAGTGTGTTAAATCATCACTGTATTATCAGGGACCATATACAGTGTGTTAAATCATCACTGTATTATCAGGGACCATATACAGTGTGTGAAACCATCACTGTATTATCAGGGACCATATACAGTGTGTTAAATCATCACTGTATTATCAGGGACCATATACAGTGTGTTAAATCATCACTGTATTATCAGGGACCATATACAGTGTGTTAAATCATCACTGTATTATCAGGTGTTAAATCATCACCATATACAGTGTGTTAAATCATCACTGTATTATCAGGGACCATATACAGTGTGTTAAATCATCACTGTATTATCAGGGACCATATACAGTGTGTTAAATCATCACTGTATTATCAGGGACCATATACAGTGTGTTAAATCATCACTGTATTATCAGGGACCATATACAGTATGTTAAATCATCACTGTATTATCAGGGATATTATACAGTGTGTTAAATCATCACTGTATTATCAGGGACCATATACAGTGTGTTAAATCATCACTGTATTATCAGGGACCATATACAGTGTGTTAAATCATCACTGTATTATCAGGGACCATATACAGTGTGTTAAATCATCACTGTATTATCAGGAACCATATACAGTGTGTTAAATCATCACTGTATTATCAGGGACCATATACAGTGTGTTAAATCATCACTGTATTATCAGGGACCATATACAGTGTGTTAAATCATCACTGTATTATCAGGGACCATGTACAGCGTGTTAAATCATCACTGTATTATCAGGGACCATATACAGTGTGTTAAATCATCACTGTATTATCAGGGACCATATACAGTGTGTTAAATCATCACTGTATTATCAGGGACCATATACAGTGTGTTAAATCATCACTGTATTATCAGGGACCATATACAGTGTGTTAAATCATCACTGTATTATCAGGGACCATATACAGTGTGTTAAATCATCACTGTATTATCAGGGACCATATACAGTGTGTTAAATCATCACTGTATCATCAGGAACCATATACAGTGTGTTATCAGGGACCATATACAGTGTGTTAAATCATCACTGTATTATCAGGGACCATATACAGTGTGTTAAATCATCACTGTATTATCAGGGACCATATACAGTGTGTTAAATCATCACTGTATTATCAGGGACCATATACAGTGTGTTAAATCATCACTGTATTATCAGGGACCATATACAGTGTGTTAAATCATCACTGAAACCATCACTGTATTATCAGGGACCATATACAGTGTGTTAAATCACCACTGTATTATCAGGGACCATATACAGTGTGTTAAATCATCACTGTATTATCAGGGACCATATACAGTGTGTTAAATCATCACTGTATTATCAGGGACCATATACAGTGTGTTAAATCATCACTGTATTATCAGGGACCATATACAGTGTGTTAAATCATCACTGTATTATCAGTGTGTTAAATCATCACTGTATTATCAGTGTGTTAAATCATCACTGTATTATCAGGGACCATATACAGTGTGTGTTAAATCATCACTGTATTATCAGGGTTACCATATACAGTGTGTTAAATCATCACTGTATTATCAGGGAACATATACAGTGTGTGTTAAATCATCACTGTATTATCAGGGACCATATACAGTGTGTTAAATCATCACTGTATTATCAGGGACCATATACAGTGTGTTAAATCATCACTGTATTATCAGGGACATTATACAGTGTGTTAAATCATCACTGTATTATCAGGGACCATATACAGTGTGTTAAATCATCACTGTATTATCAGGGACCATATACAGTGTGTTAAATCATCACTGTATTATCAGGTTTTATTTTACAGTGTGTTAAATCATCACTGTATTATCAGGGACCATATACAGTGTGTTAAATCATCACTGTATTATCAGGGACCATATACAGTGTGTTAAATCATCACTGTATTATCAGGGACCATATACAGTGTGTTAAATCATCACTGTATTATCAGGGACCATATACAGTGTGTTAAATCATCACTGGATTACAGGTGTGTTAAATCATCACTGTTAAAAATCATCACTGTATTATCAGGGTGTGTTACCATATACAGTGTGTTAAATCATCACTGTATTATCAGGGACCATATACAGTGTGTTAAATCATCACTGTATTATCAGTGTGTGTGTTAAATCATCACTGTATTATCAGGGACCATATACAGTGTGTTAAATCATCACTGTATTATCAGGGACCATATACAGTGTGTTAAATCATCACTGTATTATCAGGGACCATATACAGTGTGTTAAATCATCACTGTATTATCAGGGACCATATACAGTGTGTTAAATCATCACTGTATTATCAGGGACCATATACAGTGTGTTAAATCATCACTGTATTATCAGGGACCATATACAGTGTGTTAAATCATCACTGTATTATCAGGGTGTGTTAAATCATCACTGTATTATCAGGGACCATATACAGTGTGTTACATTGTATACAGTGTGTTAAATCATCACTGTATTATCAGGGACCATATACAGTGTGTTAAATCATCACTGCATTATCAGGGACCATATGCAGTGTGTTAAATCATCACTGTATTATCAGGAACATTATACAGTGTGTTAAATCATCACTGTATTATCAGTGTGTTAAATCATCACTGTGTTGTTAAATCATCACTGTATTATCAGGGACCATATACAGTGTGTTAAATCATCACTGTATTATCAGGGACCATATACAGTGTGTTAAATCATCACTGTATTATCAGGGACCATATACAGTGTGTTAAATCATCACTGTATTATCAGGGACCATATACAGTGTGTTAAATCATCACTGTATTATCAGGGACCATATACAGTGTGTGTTAAATCATCACTGTATTATCAGGGACCATATACAGTGTGTTAAATCATCACTGTATTATCAGGTGTGTTACCATATACAGTGTGTTAAATCATCACTGTATTATCAGGGACCATATACAGTGTGTTAAATCATCACTGTATTATCAGGGACCATATACAGTGTGTTAAATCATCACTGTATTATCAGGGACCATATACAGTGTGTTAAATCATGTTTATCAGGGATCAGGTGTTACCATATACAGTGTGTGTTAAATCATCACTGTATTATCAGGGTTACCATATACAGTGTGTTAAATCATCACTGTATTATCAGGGACCATATACAGTGTGTTAAATCATCACTGTATTATCAGGGACCATATACAGTGTGTTAAATCATCACTGTATTATCAGGGACCATATACAGTGTGTTAAATCATCACTGTATTATCAGGGACCATATACAGTGTGTTAAATCATCACTGTATTATCAGGGACCATATACAGTGTGTTAAATCATCACTGTATTATCAGGGACCATATACAGTGTGTTAAATCATCACTGTATTATCAGGGACCATATACAGTGTGTTAAATCATCACTGTATTATCAGGGACCATATACAGTGTGTTAAACCATCACTGTATTATCAGGGACCAGATACAGTGTGTTAAATCATCACTGTATTATCAGGAACTATGTACAATATGTTAAATCCTCACTGTATATATTACAGGACATATTAAGTGTGTTGTACTTACTGTCATTGCCAGTGCCTGACCATTCATCACTTTGATCATTAGGGTTCTGTCCGAAGTTTGTTGGCTCATTCATTTCAGGTCTGTAATTAAGATTAATGACATCAGTCAGGATTTTTTCCTTACTATTTGTTCTTTCACCACCACTGTCATCTATCTCAAGGTTAATTCATAACAGTGTGACCTTGAAATCAAAATTCTGAAAACACTGAAAGGCCAAATATGTTGATAACATACCTATTTGTAACTTTAAATGCGAGTTGAAATCCATCATATGCAAAACAAACTCTTTTATAAACGATGACTATCCACAGCCATATTTGAAACTTTTAATGCGTTTTCCAGCGAAATTTGTGCAAAATGTGCAATTTAAGTCCTAAATCAAGAGATTGCCACTGGCATTGGTATTTGATACTGAACCCAGAACAAAACCTTAGAACAGATTATCACAGACTTAGAATAGATTCATAGTCTGACATTACCATATGGCTTATTTTGCTAGTGTAAAAACCCTCGCATAAAGTGCACAATTTTTCATGGAAAATCTTAAGGTCAGCTTTCCAAGTAGATATCATCGAACATCAGGACAAAGTGTTGAAAAACTTAATAGTAACTATCAAGATGAGAAATTACTGATCCTTTTAATCCAATTGGCATTCACAATGCCCTGAAATATCAACTAAAAGCAATTCAGTGCTAATGTTTATCATTTTCCATTTTCATCTCATCGTAAGAGAACAAAACCTCTGCATTACTTGCCATATTCTTTGGCCCTCTGCAGTTCATGAGCTGGTAACACGCAACTGACTTTCGTACATTTTGGTTTACACTACAGCATTGCCATACAATGCCATACAAAACAGAACATATATCATATGAGATTGTTTTTAGAATACCATCTGAAGATAATATTTGACTTTATGCTAATAATAAGTGATTTTACATATTACAGTACATATATATATAAAAGAAGCTATGTCTTTATTTAGAGAAGTAGACTGTATAAATTTACATATTAATTAAGTACCTGACTTTTCCTTTCGCGAGAGAAGCCAGCTGGCCATTAGGAAAGCGTTGTCTTGCCATTTCTTTGCACTCTTGGAACCTCAACCATCTGCCTAAAATCATCCCACTAAGTCCAGCCACTGTAACATTCAGCGTTTAACATTCTATAATACCATAACTTGAACATATCTGATCCCTGCAACATTGAAAATAGGTTTAGATTATATAAAGTTATTTATGTGAAGGGGCCATGATAGTTGTGTCAGCGAGAGTTGACCTACATAACATCAGGTGAAGATCTGAGGCCGGTGGTTTGATGCTCCCTGCCTTTGGCATCTGCAACTCTCAAGAAGCTGAGAAACAGTCCGGTCTGTGCTGAAATTGTTGTGTTTTTCAGCTAGAAACTTTACTATAATTGCTGTTATTGGCATGCATTGGACCTCAACTATATTGTTCAGTGGGGAAGCAACCAGCTACTTCAGAGACCCATCTAGCTGTTGGCCAAATATCAGCACTCTTGGTGTTCCAAAAAGATGTAATTTTTTTCATATTTGATCTATGTGCCCTTGGAATGAGTCAAGGTTATTCAAATAAGGAAATTTTCAAGTACTCTGTCCCAGGTACCTAATGGCGAATTATCAATAATTTTGGTTTTATGCAACTTAAGAAGACTCTCAATTTCAAAAACATTGGACTCCTGTAACCATTAAAAGAGGACAAATTAATTAATATGAGAACATTTTTTATGGTGCTCTATTCCATATACCTCTTGGCCATCAGTGTACATTTTTTAAAACTAGTTTTTCCATAAGAAGTTGAGAGCAGTGAACAACAGAAAATTTACCATAAAACATCAAAACAGTTCATGAAGCTACTTTTAGATTTTAGAACTAGCCTTAACATGCATGGCAGTGAAATATGCATGTACAATGTACTAATATAGAAATGGCAATTGTGAGTATAAGTTACCTAGAGAGAAAACATCGCTATCATTACAGCATATAAAGTTTTAAAGAGATTGGAAAATTAAAATGCTGAAAAAATTATTGATGAACAAAGGGCAATACCTTTAATAAAAAAAAAGGAAAACTATAATGCTATCAAGGTTAACACAATGTCATGTAAAGGTCATAAAGGTCATAAAGCTCAACAAGACACAAGACGAATAGTATGAAAATTGAGATCAGCATGCAAGATGAAAATGCTGAAAAATACTAAAAGGCCATAATTCCCTAAAAATTTGTTAAATGAATTGCTGTTAAAGGAAAAACGTCAAGGTTTAATATAAAGTCTACAGAGTTCTACAGTAACCAGTTGAAAACTAATAGTGATTACCAAACAAAATCAATTTTGTGAAAAAAAACAAGGGGCAGTAAGTCAAACTACTGTTCAGAAAGCACAACGGTTATGTCATGTTGATAAAGGATACTAAATGAGAAAGAAATAGGTTAAATACTCAGAGAGATATCCACACAAGATTGAAATTATGAAAACATGAGTATCGGTGAACTGATGAATTCTCCCTGTAAAAAGCAACGCTATGCTCCTGACACAAAATCTTAGCAAAGGGCAATAACTAAGCAGTTGTGGGTCCTGAATCCAGTGCACTGCATATCCTCTTCGTATGACCTATGTGAACACCAAGTCTCATGATCCTTACTTAACTGTGGGCAAAGTTATGCTTCAGACACAAAAGGACAGACAGAAAGATGGACAGATAGAGGGACAACGCGGTGACTATATGCGCCTCAGAAAATTTTCAGGAAAACAAAATAACAAGGGTAAGTAACTCTTTCAAATATAGTCAAATCCAACAACTGTTTAAGAAAATACAAATCCATGTCATTGCTATTAAGCCTACCAAGTTTAAAGAAAATTGGTTGAATATGAAGAGAGAAGATCTCCCTACAAGATTGTCATCATGAAAACAAAGGGCAGTTACTCTTCCCAATACAGTCAAATAAAACCGCTGTTCAGAAAAACATAGGCCTACTAAGTTTGAAAGTGATCACATGGTGTTTTTTTTTGTGTGAAGAACAAAACAACAAAAGACAACAAATGATACAATGATATGTCATAGGTAAAATGTATCAGAATATATAACAGTCATCAATGTCCATTATATCTACCAGTACTTATATACTGATACTTACTCAATCCATTTAGCAGCCAATGTCTGTTATTAAACCCTGAAGAAACAAAAATGAAAAACAAAAATTTAATCGAATGAAAAAGGTCCCAACCCACAGACCTTGTTACTAATGTACATTTTACTATACATGTAAAAGCTTGGGTGTTCCCTTTTAAATTCAAGGATCACTAAGCTGCCACACAGAAATACAAATAGGTTTTCTTAAATAATGCAATACTTTCCTCAATGAATTATATTGCACGATAAATTTACTGCAGTAACTAACATTTTCATCAAAAAACTAACATATTATCAAAATAATATTTACAATTGGTATGCCAAAATGCATAAGACAAAAATGCAATACATTTAGCATCACATCAATGACCTGATTACTGAAGCTGCATTGTGTTGTAATACATTTAGCATCACATCAATGACCTGATTACTGTAGCTGCACTGTGTTGTAATACATTTAGCATCACATCAATGACCTGATTACTGTAGCTACACTGTGTTGTAATAAATTTAGCACCACAACAATGACTTCATTACTGTAGCTACAGTGTTGTAATATATTTTAAACCAAATTACCTACTGAATTAAAATTACTGCTGTTAAGCCATCATTTAATTTTTCTTGTGTTGTTTTTACAATGAACAAAGTGAAATAAATTCAGTGTTTGAGGTGATCTTAAAAATGTATAATAATAATCAAAATTTTTCATGAAACTCAATGTTGTTACCACCTCATAAAGGTTGAAAAAATAAATTTCTTAAATAACACCACTGAGACCAGTTTTGGTTATGACCAAATATTTCCATTGTGACGTCACATTTTCATGGTGTCATATACACCATGATATCACCAAAGATACAGCTTAGCAAGTAAGAACATCATTAACTTAGAGTTGGCAGCAGTCTGATCAAAGGCTGTTTTCACAAATACTTGTGAAAGTGCATCGTATTTGCTTAATGTGACAAACAGTATGACATTTATGAAACTTGTCACAAACTTTTCAATCTTCCTTGTCAAAGGCTTGGTAAAATGAATATATTTGGTTTGAATGGAATTTCATGCAAGCTTCTTTACTTTCTGGAGATTTAGATTAACAATCCCCAGTAGCATTACCTACCTTTAACATAATCTTGAATCTTGCACAAGGTGTTTAAAATACCTTATCTGGACAGGTACAAGGTGGTTAAAATACCTTATCTAGACAGGTACAAGGTGGTTAAAATTCTTTATCTGGACAGATACAAGGTGGTTAAAATACCTTATCTGGACAGGTACAAGGTGGTTAAAATTCTTTATCTGGACAGGTACAAGGTGGTTAAAATTCTTTATCTGGACAGGTACAAGGTGGTTAAAATTCTTTATCTGGACAGGTACATGATGGTAAAATACTTTATCAGGACAGGTATAAGGTAGATACAAGACTTTATTTTTATCTGTACAGGTACAAATTAGGTACAAGACTTCTCTATATCTGGACCGGTCCAAGGCTAATACAAGACTTTATCTAGACAGGTACAAGGTGGTTAAAATTCTTTATCTGGACAGATACAAAGTTAAGGTACAAGACATTGTCTAGACAGGTACAATGTATGTTCAAGACCTTATCTAGACAGGTACAAGATAAGTACAAGATGTTATCTAGCCAGGTTAAAGGTAGATACAAGACCTTATCTGGACAGGTACAAGATAAGTACAAGATGTTTTCTAACCAGGTTAAAGGTAGATACAAGACCTTATCTGGACAGGTACAAGATAAGCACAAGATGTTATCTAGCCAGGTTAAAGGTAGATACAAGACCTTATCTGGACAGGTACAAGATAAGTACAAGATGTTATCTAGCCAGGTTAAAGGTAGATACAAGACCTTATCTGGACAGGTACAAGATAAGTACAAGATGTTATCTAGCCAGGTTAAAGGTAGATACAAGACCTTATCTGGACAGGTACAAAGTAGGTACAAGAAATTGACTAGCCACTTAAAAGGTAGGTACATGACTTTATCTTTATTTGGAAAGGTACAAGGCACGTTCAAGACACTATCTGGACAGATAAAAATTGTACAAGATAGGGACAAGGCATTATCTAGACAGGCACAAGGTGGTTAAAATACTTTACTTGGACAGGTACAAAATTAAAGTACAAGGCTTTATATATCCAGACATTCACAAGGTGGTTAAAATATTTTATCTGTGCAAGTAAAGGTGGGTACAGTTATTCATCTGGACATGGCCATGTTGAGCAAATTTCTTTATCTGGCCAGGTATAGGATTGCAACATGTATAACATGTGTGTTTCTTACTTCTAAGATGAGGTGATAAATATTTTTTTTAAAATTTGGATTATTTAAAGTTTTTCTCTGTTCTTACCTCTTCGCTTTCGTACTTCAAAAAATGTATACATTCCTATTGATATAGATGCACCTGTGAACGACAGAAATTGACATCAAACACATGCATGTAAAAGACACTTTTGTTCATAGACAAATTAGGAAACCTACTATTTATACACCAATTCCTAATCACAAAAAAGCATCATATCATTGCCTAATACCACACTGAAGTATTGCTTACATCACAGGAATCGGATATATGTAAAATACTGCTATTATACTACTAAAATAGCAGGTAGAATTACAATAGCTATATTTCACATACAGTATGTCTCATTCCTGTGCTTACAAACAAGTAATTGTAATAAACAATATATCTAGTGCACACATTGCAGAAATGGACATTGTTACTTCCTGTTTTTATAAGATTCCTCTTGCTTATATTTTGTACTTTTAAAGCATTCCTTGGTATTGAACTGTAGAAATTTAAGTTTCTGCCCTTGTGAGGAAACCATAGTTTATTTTCCTTGACTGAGACAAACCAAACCCTTTAAATTGCTACTAAGCACTCCATGCTTCATATTTTGTGTTACATGTGCAAAATTTGCAACAGCACATCAATGCAGTTCTATTGTACTAATATGCGTTTCTATCATGATTGCTATAAATTTAGCGATAACTTATATATAAATGAGGTATATAATTTATTTTGTAAATATATATATGAGTAAGAGTTATTTCCTTATTAACAGCTCCTAAACCTGTAACAAAGGCCATCCATGACCAGTCATAATAATAATGATGTAAACTGAAGTGACAGTGATGATGATGTTGATGTCGATATCTTTTTGTCTTTGTAAAGAATTGTATAAAAACCCATACAACAGAAAGGAATTTTTAATTACATTTCTTTATTTCTCCTATTTTTTTGTATCATTTTGGAATGAAAAAATATATAAACTCAGGAAAATTTTAAACATTGTGCTTGTTATGCCAGAGGCCTCGTTGGTACAGACCTAATGCTTATATGTCGTTTTCAGGTCATTTTTTTGCCTGGGCACACCCCTTGTCATTCTGAGGTTTAAAATCTATACATAAGAGACAGTAATTAATGCAGTTGTGGAGGGTGCGTTTTTTGTTTGATATAATCAGTGATTAACACTAACACAATACTTAGTTTGTAAGTTAATGGGCTTCTCCATTTAATTTTCAATCCATAACATTAATTGACCACTTTTACAAAATGTGCAGTGTACAGTTGTACACTTGAAACTCCATTTTGTACATGGGCACAGGTTGTGTGGATGATGTGAGCAAAGTGTGTCGATAATGTATGGATCATTTGCACAAGAAAGTTTTTAGTGTACTGTGCAATCCCACATTTATAATATTACTTCAGTCTTGAATTTATCTACTCTGGACATCAAGATCACATCTATTTCATAGAAATTATGAATCGCTTCATGGGATATTATGATCACATCTCTGTAACAGACATTACAAATCATAGTATGAGATATTGTGGTCAAATCTCTCTTATAGAAAATGCGTCAATTTATAAATCACTCCATGGGACATCATGATAAATCTCTCTAATAGACATTCTGAATTAATGCATTGTGCAACATGTAATTAGGAATCACTCCCTAAGACATTATGAAAAACTCCATAGGACATTATGAACTATCCCATATGACATTTTAATCTCTTCATCACTTACAAGAAAATCTTGCAAAAACCCATACACATGTAACACTTACATTTCAATAGATATCCTTCTCGCATACAATTTACAAGTGCTGTTAATTCTTTCCTTTGCTCTTCAGAGATTCCCTGATAAAACACAAATAATAATAATGATCAATTATTATAGTTTTAGTTCAAATGACCTTGATATTTTTATCAATTACTTAGAATTTAATAACACCTCTTGCATGTAGCTGAAGAGGCAGGTTTCAATTTCTTCTTTTCCTCTTTACAGAGAATGATAAAACCCAAAGAAAAAGTGTTGAAATTAAACAAAGTATCATAGACACTCATAGATGCAATGTTCAATGTGTACTGAAATAAAGGGAGTGCATTACAGTATGGAATGGCATATGACCTTTAATGATTGGCCACGCTGATATATACTGTATACATACACATGTATATAGATATATAACCATGGTAACACAACTGACAAAGGAAGACAATTTTAGACTCCTGCCCTAACCGAACCTCGAACTCACAATCTACAGAACCCAATCAACTAACTATGAAATCTGACGACTTTCTAACCAATTACACTCCTCCTGACTTCCCCAAAAAAGGATGTTTCAAAGACAGTTGGAGCTTTCTCAACATGATCACAGTAGCAAATTGTCTATTATGTAATATGAACACCTGGATCACAATGTTTGCATATATATGGATACAAACTGTACATTGGAAATATACAAAACATGGTAACAATTTCGACAGGAAATTCAAATCAGTGTATATGATGCTTTGTGTTAATTGATATTTGTACAACTGACAAAGGAAGACAACTTTTGACTTGTGTCCTACCTGGGCCTCTAACTTGAGATCTACTGCACCAAATTGCCTAGCCAAGACATTCAACAACAATTTAAGCAACTACACCATCAAACATCACCCAAAAAAGGATGTTTGGAAGTTGTACTGATAGACAGTTGGAAATGTGATTGGAGAGGTAATAATTGATCATGTTCTGTCAAATTTAACCCTAAAATTTGCACCTTTTGCAGTCTAGGGAATAGCTACAGGCCATAGAAGGTCTAAAGTAGTGAACTCTAATAAATTGGTTGAGTATTTTCTAGTGTTCATGGAGATGGGTTGAGATTTCAACATCGAGGATCAGTTATTACAATTGGCTACTGATAAGGACAACCATCAATTACTTGCTAGGTTATCAAGTAAACTGTTGTTTTTATTTTCATTCTTTTAAAGTACCTTACACAATTGTGACCGATAATAGTTCATCACTTCATAGGTTGCTTGAGCACTGACCATTACCAGTTCACAAGTACAAAACTAATGAGTCCTACTGACAGTAGAAATTGTAGAAGTTGATGGTACTCATGGTCACCTTTCTGGGCTTTCATTTTTGAGTCAAAATATAAACCAATCAATTTCCAGACACAATCAACAATGACTGCAGAGTAGGTTAACTTCAACTGTAAAAAGAGTTGATAAATCCTTCCTCATGATTAGACACATGTAAAATTATTACAAAAATGTATACTAGATTTTATCAACGAGACTGATACAACATGAAATAAAAAAAGATATAGGCCTATTAGCTGTTCAAGTGTTCAAACATGCAAAAGCTCAACAATGTTATCTAAAGATTGTTTGTCTGCATCTATGAATATATCATAAAAAGCTATATCTACGCTATAGCCAGTGTTGTTTCGAATTGAAGATTTCATCAACTTTTCGTTTAATTTATTGTCATCATTCAATTTTCAAAAGTGAAAAGTATTTCACACATCTAGTTGTTAAATCATGTAAGAAACTTGATCTTGATAATAAAGTAGTACCATAGACTTAGATATTGATAGTAAGTCCATGGTGGTACTGAAAATCAGCTAAAATACTTCCTTCCAGTTTTACAATAATGTCAGAAATCAATTACCTTTTCCACGATGTATGATCATATATGCAAGACTGATATCTTTCAGAGAATAATAAAAAATAGTTAGACATTGTTTTAGTTATGTCATGGAATTAAGACATCTCAAAAAATATTTAGTGTGTAAAAAATTTGAAAGTATGGACGAAGGGAGATAAATCAAACGTTGAAGACAATATAATTTTCTTCCAAAGTGAAAAGAGAAGTACGCAATATGTGTATGAAATAGTTCCAATTTTATATATATACACATGTATTTATCAAATAACCACATCAATTACTTCATGAACTAACGTTAAACTTTAGCATCTGATCTAGTCATGGTTATAGAGGCAAGCATCCAGAAGATGCAAGCGTCAAGAAATAACAGATTGAATTGGGTCCCCTAATACCTCTATATATCAAATTTGGTTAAATCTCCATGAAAAAGTAAAAAACAGTTGAGAATTAATTTTGGTATGCCATAATACCAATAAATACAAAATTTGGTATAAACCAGAAAATATCTAAATTTCCACCAAAAAGAGGCCACAATTTGCCTAAGCATAGTTATAGACGGGTGGGGATGGGGAATATAACAATGTACAAAAATGTAAAAACTACCAGGCTCATATATGGTAAAAGGTTAAACATACTGTAGAAAATCAGTGGAATGAAAATTAGATAACAAGGGCATGCATGGTTAGTTCACTAATCACGTTTTAAAACATCCATCCAACCATCAGTTCTATAGCTAGGACTTTCATCACAAAACTTCTTCATATATTTTCCCCTTCATTCTATATAACATGTACATTTCAGAATAAAATGAAACATCCTCTACATCACCATCATTACAACTGTCGTACAGTCTACTTCTTCTACCAATGTATTTTCAACGTCAAATTTCTATGCTAAACTTGCAATCAGTGGTTTATATTTTTGCTTTGATTGACTAACACAGATAATACTATAAATCATAGTTGTTGAATGTATGTATGACTATCCTTTGGTGGAGTTGGAATTCTACTTAATATGCCTTGTTTATCAAAATTCAAGTCTTTGTTTCATTACTGAATTATATGAAACAGTATCAGTATTAACAATTCATGATTTTATTCTACTCATCCAAACATCATTTTTGCATTAATGTTTTTCATAACAAGCCTAAATAATTCAGGATGCAATTATTTGTCCATTTAAAATTTAACCAATTATTAAAGACTCTTAAATTTTCTACTAGCTAGTAATGGAAATCTTCCAAATTTATCATTGCATGAAGTTTTTCTTACTCCTAAAAATTTTTATACAAAATGTAAAATGTAGTATTTCTACATATATGCCTTAATCTGTAATAAGGACATTAATGAAAATAAACCTATCTACCTGTTATGTTTTTTTATTATTTCTTAATGCCTTGTTATTCAATGACTATAAAACAAAAATTGCATCATATAACATGAAGAACAGACCTTTAATCTATATAAAATATGCATGTGAAAATGACAATTTCTTTCCATAATTATTGTTTGAAAGCTGACCTGCGTGCAGGTGGCTGATTTCTCTCACTTTTTCTAGGGACAGAGTTAGTACTTTTATCGTCTCGAAGTCATATATGAAAGTTGATAGAATGTCAAAATAACTCTTGACTACAATAATCTGACCTGAGCTCAAAGGCTAACAGTGCTTAAACACTTATTTTATTTTCAGTTCTCATCCCACAAAATGATTGATTTGTCCACTTATAATGCATGATAATAACAGGATATAGACACTTTTCCACCTTCAGTAAGAAAAGCTTTTAAACAAGGCTATGGTATTCTGAATCCTAGCTGCAAGACAAACTCTAGTTCCTTAAAAGTTTGCATGCCCATAATACCCATAATCATAGTAAAATGCATGTATCTTACTGAAAAAAAGTATTGCATCAAAAAGTGGATCTGACATGTTTTGTAAAACACAGTATAAACCAAAACATTGGTCCATATTTCACCCCACCCCTGCCCCCTACTCACCCATAGAAATGCAAGCTGATTCACGATTCCATAGCAGATCAATACAAAATTTATACCACAATAATGGCCTAGAAATGAGTCTTTTGTGAATTTCGTGCAGAGGAGGTTCGAATATCATTATATAAAACATCACATAGACACAGTAAAGATATATTTTAATGGGGTATTTGAGCATACATGTAGGTTCTATCTTTGATATCTGCCATTACACACGTGGTGTTTACTACCTGCCCTAAAAAGTACAGTACAACAACAATCGCATGTAATTTTAATATAGCTGGAGATGTTCATGATCTGTTTCTCCTAAGATTAAACAACACAAGTCATTGACAATCAAATCATCGAAACACTATGATTTGTGTTCGGGCACTGGTCAGGTTAGTCTACACGTACATGTATGTATATCTATTCATGTATATTTGAAGACCTTATATTTAAGAATTATCACTAATTTTAAGTCTTATATACCAAAATTAAGCGATACATACCCATATAAAGACTTTAAAGCCTGCATACATGTAAAGAGGTTTTATCTAACATGTAGGTATTTATCAATAAGTTTACCATATTATACTACACCTCATGAAATGGACAATGTCAACAGGTCATAACAATCAGACACGCGGTGGCTATCAGATACAACCACGGGTCAATATAACACCAGTTTTGATAGTCCCATCAATATAAAGAAGTGTACTTTACTATATGAACGAAAAATAAGAAACGTTAATTGACTGTCACAAACTTTACATGTGTTTGTCGGGCTTCTCCAACATCAGACATCTTCAACAGGCCTTCCACTGCTAACTTAACGGAAACTGGACAAAGATGTTTAAAATAGGACCCAACCTCGGATATCTTCATCGTCATAAATGTCCAAATTTAACATTTACTATATCCGATGTAATCTAACAATGAAACAAATTGAGTATATTATGAGTATTTGTTTTTTTTTTATTAAAAAGCAATTCTATATCTTTATACATTATGCTTAATTTCAGACTACTTTTTGTTTTGTTTTGACTATTAGAGGGAGATAACTCCAACAGTAGCAATTAAAGAATTTGTTCAATTTTTTTCTGGTGAATCCTTGAATGAGCAATGCCCGAATATCTCATACGTCTAATGGATTGGAATGTTACCCACTCAAATTTAATATTTATCGACTACTTTATCACATTTCTCGTGTTATATAATAAGACCTATAAATAGGTAGGGATGGTTTGTTATCTATATTTTCGCAAGTCATTAAGTGGCGGCCACCAGATCCTCAAGTGGCCGCCGCCAGATCGTTATGTGGCCGCCGCCAGATCGTTATGTGGCCGCCGCCAGATCGTTATGTGGCGGCCACCAGATCCTCAAGTGGCCGCCGCCAGATCATTAAGTGGCGGCCACCAGATCCTCAAGTGGCCGCCGCCAGATCGTTATGTGGCGGCCGCCAGATCCTCAAGTGGCCGCCGCCAGATATTATATTTTCGTTATCACGTAAAGAGAATTATAAATAAATAAATAAATAAAGAGAATAATGATAATGACGTCACGAGCAGAAGCGCCTCGATTCCGCGGAAATGACGACTACACTGATTAGGTCTGAGCGGACAGGTGAAAATCGACAACTTTGAGCTTTAATAACTCTACACAGGGGCGACGGATTTTGACGGGGTTTTCGTTATTAATTTTTAAGGCATTCTTAACATTATATCTAAATATGAAATTACGCTCAGGGTACACTTTAACAAGAGGAACAAATCCACGTATACCAATGTGTTACCACGGACTTAGACCTATCTCCTTGGTGTTATCGTCGTCTTATGCACGACGATCATGTCAGAAACTGGAAACTGTTAAAATGAAAAATACAACTTTATGAATTAAGTCGTATTTTATCATTGCATATTGTATGTAAAATATATAACTATATACATATTATATATAATAGGATTCGTTATTCTGTTATTTTTTGTATGGATTTTTCAAATTTCTTCCGTTCGTTCACAAAATTGTTCGTAAGCGACTTTATAATGAACGAGCATGGAAAATGCATATTAATGGATTTATATTTATTAACTTGAGTGAGTTGAATACAGACATTGTTTTAATGCATACTAACCATACTAAATACAGTCAACTTTAAATATTTGAGTGTTGTTATTACCGATCTTTAAAAAAATGGACGTTTGTTTATTTAATGAAAAAAATGTATGATCGACAGCTGACGCTAACTATGGATGTATAGGGGATGTTCATTAGACGGATAGGAACAATAACTAAGTATATATAGGGGATGTCCATTAGACTGATAGGAACAATAACTATGGATATATAGGAGATGTCCATTAGACGGATAGAAACAATAACTAAGGATATATAGGGGATGTCCGTTAGACGGATAGAAACAATAACTAAGGATATATAGGGGATGTCCGTTAGACGGATAGGAACAATAACTAAGGATATATAGGGGATGTCCGTTAGACGGATAGGAACAATAACTAAGGATATATAGGGGATGTCCGTTAGACGGATAGGAACAATAACTAAGGATATATGAGGAATGTCCATTAGACGGATAGAAACAATAACTAAGGATATATAGGGGATGTCCGTTAGACGGATAGAAACAGTAACTAAGGATATATGAGGAATGTCCATTAGGCGGATAGGAACAATAACTAAGGATATATAGGGGATGTCCATTAGACGGATAGGAACAATAACTAAGGATATATGAGGAATGTCCATTAGGCGGATAGGAACAATAACTATTGAAATAAAGGGGATGTCAATTAGACGGATTATTACAATTACAGTCTCCCATGCCTTGACCGTCTCACGTACGGTCTTCCATGCCTGGACCGTCTCACGGACAGTCTCCAATACTTGGGCTATCTCACACACAGTCTTCCATACCTGAACTGTCTCACGTACAGTCTTCCATACCTGGAACGTCTCAAGTACAGTCTCCCGTACCTGGACCATCTCACACACAGTCTCCCATGCCTGGAAGGTCTCCCACATAGTATCCCATACATGAATCGTCTCGTGTACAGTTTCCCATACTTGGACCTTCTCACGTACAGTGTCCCATACTTGGACCGTCTCACGTACAGTGTCCCATACTTGGACCGTCTCACGTACAGTGTCCCATACTTGGACCGTCTCACGTACATTGTCCCATACTTGGACCGTCTCACGCACAGTGTCCCATACTTGGACCGTCTTACGTACAGTGTCCCATACCTGGACCGTCTCACGTACAGTGTCCAAAACCTAGACCGTCTCATCTTCTGTATCCCATACCTAGACTGTCTCCCAAACAATCTCCTATACCTGGACCGTCTTACGTACAGTCTCCAATACTTGGGCTATCTCACACACAGTCTCCCATACCTGAACTGTCTCACGTACAGTCTTCCATACCTGGAACGTCTCACGTACAGTCTCCCGTACCTGGAAGGTCTCCCACATAGTATCCCATACATGAATCGTCTCGTGTACAGTTTCCCATACTTGGACCGTCTCACGTACAGTGTCCCATACTTGGACCGTCTCAAGTACAGTGTCCCATACTTGGACCGTCGCACGTACAGTGTCCCAAACCTAGACCGTCTCATCTTCTCCCATACCTGGACTGTCTCACGGACAGTCATCCCTACCTGGACCGTCTCACACGCAATCCCCCATACCTGAACTGTCTCACGCACGGTCTTCCATACCTGAAGGGAAGTAAGCATAAGAATGCATTTCGGAACGTTTTAGGAACAATTTACATAAATCAGCTAGGCGTACAAGTTTATCATTAGTGGCGTAGTTTTCTATCCAATGTGTTCCGTCATGCGTAAACACATTTCCACAAACTCTTATCCAAATACGATTGTATGCCCTGTACTATTACATCTATAGATAACCTCTTCAACTATTTTGTTGCACTTCCCATTCATACAACAGTGCTCATTTAGCAGAGAGTTGATTTAAAACTACACATCTTAATGCAACATCAAAATTATGGGAAGTTCCAATTCTATCTAGACCGTCTCGCTCGCGCACAGTCTTCCATACCTGGACAGTCTCACATATAGTCTCCCATACCTGCACCGTCTCATGTAATGTAACCCATACCTGGACCGTCTCACGGACAGTCTCCAATACCTTAACCGTCTCACATACAGTCTTCCATACCTGGACCGTCTCAGATATGGTCTATCTCATACCTGCACCATCTCATGTAATGTATCCCATACCTGGACCATCTCACGTACAGTCTCTGATACTAGGACCGTCTCACATACAGTCTCAAATACCTGGACCGTCTCACGTACAGTCTTCCATACCTGAACCGTCTCACGTACAGTCTTCCATACCTGGACTGTCTCACGCACAATCTTCCATACCTGGAACGTCTCACGTACAGCCTTCCATACCTGGAACGTCTCACGTACAGCCTTCCATACCTGGACCGTTTCACGTACAGTCTTCCATACCTGGACCGTCTCTCGTACAGTCTTCCATACCTGGCATGACTCACATTCGGTCTCCCATAACTGGAACGTCCCACGGACAGTCTCCCATACCTGGACCGTCTCATGTACAGTCTTCCATACCTGGACCGTCTCACGTACAGTTCACCATACCTGGAACGTCTCATGTACAGTCTTCCATACCTAGACCGTCTCACATTCGGTCCCCCCTACCTGGAACGCCTCACACACAGTCTCCGATATTTAGACAGTCTCATGAACTATCTAAAATACTTGGACCGTCTCACATACAATCTCCCATACCTTGGCCGTCTCATGTACAGTCACCCGCACCTAGACCGTCTCACGTTACAGTGTCCCATACCCGGACCGTCTCACGTACAGTGTCCCATACCTGGACCGTCTCACGTACAGTGTCCCATACCTGGACCGTCTCACGTTACAGTGTCCCATACCTGGACCGTCTCACGTGCAGTGTCCCATACCTTGGCCGTCTCATGTACAGTCACCGGTACCTGGGCCGTCTCACGCACAGTCTCCCATACCAGAACTGTCTCACGCACAGTCTCCCATACCTGAACTGTCTCACGCACAGTCTCCCGTACCAGAACTGTCTCACGCACGGTCTCCCATACCTGAACTGTCTCACGCACGGTCTTCCATACCTGAAGGGAAGTAAGCATAAGAATGCATTTCGGAACGTTTTAGGAACAATTTACATAAATCAGCTAGGCGTAAACGTTTACCATTAGTGGCGTAGTTTTCTATCCAATGTGTTCCGTCATGCGTAAACACATGTCCACAAACTCTTTTCAAAATACGACTGTATGCCCTGTACTATTACATCTATAGATAACCTCTTCAACTATTTTGTTGCACTTCCCATTCATACAACAGTGCTCATTTAGCAGAGAGTTGGTTTAAAACTACACATCTTAATGCAACATCAAAATGATGGGAAGTTCCAATTCTATCTAGACCGTATCGCTTGCGCACAGTCTTCCATACCTGGATCGTTTCACATATAGTCTCCCATACCTGCACCGTCTCATGTAATGTATCCCATACCTGGACAGTCTCACGGACAGTCTCCAATACCTTGACCGTCTCATGTACAGTTGACCATACTTGGACCGTCTCACGTACAGTTTACCATACCTGGACCGTCTCACGTACAGTCTTCCATACGTGGACCGTCTCACGTACAGTTTACCATACCTGAACCGTCTCACGGACAGTCTTCAATACCACAGCTAAAATCTTTGATAATATGAAAAGTATAAACTGGTAAGGTACCCTAACCTTTGGCGGCAACT